TTGTGCTCAAATTGGTATTGAAACTCCACCTAGCTGCCAGACTAATAAGTCGTCGCTTATAAAGTCATAACATGTCGAGTAAGGATGTGTACGTAGAATCCCCAACATAGATTTTTCAAAAACAATAATAGTAAAAAGTTGCGAGGAAACAAGATACGAGCCAAGAAAGTTGGTTGCGCGAATATATTGTAAGCGCAAATTTGGGGTACTCTACGCTACTTACGAATTATTACGAATCTTTTGTTTAAAGACTAGAACGGCACGCTCAAACAGGGTCATGATAAATCTACAAAAGATCGATACAAAACCCGCTCGCATACAAGTTTGTCGTGATATTATTTATACTAAATACAAGTACATTGGATCAATGCTTAACTTTTTGTATCATTATTAGAAGTAAGATAATTCTTTAGGCCTAATGTTACAACATGACGCGTGGACGGTTTCCAAACTGGAAGTTCCCACACTGCACAAAATAACAAAGTACTTCCTAAACATGCCTTTTCTTTATGTAATGGGGTGTTTTGTGGCTTTTTTTGGGTGTGGGGGGGGGGGGCAAAATATGATGCCAACTACGGCTTCAGCTGATGGGTGCAGACCGGTGTAAAATATAGTTCGAGAAATTCCTACAAATCACAATTTGTGTACCCTGAAATTCTTTGCTATATAAGAGAATTTTCTGGGCCATGAACTTGAAGGTTTAAAAAAAAGCAGGCCCCAGACCCCACGCCGTAAGGGCTTCGAGTTGTTGAGGATATAATACACTTATCCACGTTAAAATTAAAACATTGTGATCATTTTTAATGTTGGTTCTGTAGCGATAAACACGCCCCCTCCCACAGCATCGGACCCATCATACGTATACTGCACATACCGTGCATTAGGCCTATTTGCCCAAAAACCTGAGTTGGTAAAACGCGGAACTCTTATTATTGAAGGTCTTCCCGTGTGAATTTTGCACAGAAAAAAAATCACAGGAGTTGTTGAGGATATAATACACTTATCCACATTAAAATTAAAACATTGTGATCATTTTTAATGTTGGCTGTGTAGCGATGAAGATGCCCCCTCCCACAGCATCGGACCCATTACTGTACATACCGTACATCATTCTGCCTGTTTAAACGCGGAACTCTCTGAGGCCTGTACCCATATCGATCGCGCTGCCTGGGTGAAACATGGAACTCTTAGTACAGAGGGCCGTCCCGTGTTTTTTTTTGTTTTTTTTGGTTTTTGTCCAAAGAAAAAAAAGAGGATTTGTCGAGGATATAAGACAATTGTCGACATTACAAATAAAACATTACGATAATTCCAAAAATGTTACTTCTGCAGAAGTCGTTCTGCAGCAGTACATCATCCCCCTATCAACTATTTAATACACGTGCTTCACAGAGCACTGAGTCTCAGCTGCACCCTTGGTTTGTAAACGGCATGTATCCCTTTACAGCATGTGTTCTGCACTGTTCTGCAAATACTACACATTATTATACCGTACGGTCCGACGGCACAAACAGGTGGGATATCTTTTATTGTAACTAATTTAAGGGCAGATTTATGAGGATTTTGGGACTTAAGAATGAGATTGGGCCTTTGCTGTACTTTTAAAGCCGGTATTTAATCTTAATTTGGTGTTATATTCCTAGTTCTGCAGAGTTCCGCAGAGTTCTGCACGTCTGTAAGTTCCGCAAAATACCCACCTCCCCCCCCCCCCCCTTGCGCTCGCGATTCGATTTGTGGCGCGCGTGTTTGCGTTACACTCTGGTTACGTGAATACTTCGTAGCGTGATAAGCGCTGTAAACGTCTAGGTGTAAGACGGCTAGATAAACGATGGCGCCCTAGACCGACAGCGGGCGTTTATACGCGAGTTATTTGCATAAAAAGTGCCCCCGCAACTTTTTTTGGCAAAAAGAGACCGTCTGGTCTTAAAAAAAATCTACTGGGGGGGGGGGGGGGAGTTACCCTCCTGCCTTCCCCGCCCCCCAGATACGCCACTGAATCAACGACGGTTTCTCCTGCATTCTTAACAATTTATAACTTAATTTAGGAACTTGACCATTCTATTTAATATGTTGGCCAAATTTATATCTTAACATTAGTCGGGTGGGGGGGGGGGGGGGGGGTGCGATCCCGCAACTTATCTTCTTGGCCGTTTTTTTTGCCAACTTTGCAGATCTTTAATTGGACGTGTTAGGCTGGAGACGACAATGGTGGGATTTATCACCTTCACGAAATAGGGTAAAATGCAAGGTATCATCATCCAAAATAATAGCTCCGTATCGTACTCTAAAAATTCCAAACAAATGCCCTCTATACCAAATGTTTTGTTACACGGATAATTTTACCAACACGCCGTGAAGTTTTGTTAACTATTTTTTAGAAAGCCAATTTCTCCGGACCGAACTCGTCATTTCGGGAATATCCGAGGATATTTTCTTCGGATCGTTTTTAATTTTCAGAAATTCATTTATTTATTCATTTTTTATTAATGCATCCTATAGTTGTATATGTACCGAAAATAAATTTGAAGGCGGACAGCAATTCGAAGTCCAAATTCCTTATTCTTTTCCAACTGAGAATCGCTAAAGAGTACGACACTACTGATTCGAACCCGCCCTGGTGACCTGATGGGCTGGCCACTGTCCTGGACTTATACTACTATAAAAAATTGGGCCTGATAAATATGACATTGGCCTCAATTTTAAATTTGGCTGTGAAACACGGCAAAAGTTGTAATTCAATGTGCCCATATTGCTGTGCGGAAACAGTCTCATTACTCAAAATGCACAATTTCTGAATTAAAAACGAGAACGAGTTTTTTTCTGTCGTAAACTTAGTGCAGAATTTTATTATGCCCATGCAAAAAAAACCCCATAAAAGCCATTTTATGATAAGATTAGCATATGTTGCATAAACTCCAACGACGTTAGAGGCTCCGTCAAATCCACCGTTGTCATAAATTCAGTGCAGAATAAATTCAGAGCAGGTTTTTTTCACATTGTTTTTCAGGCATTGGATATGTAATAAAATCCAAGACTTGTGGGAAATTTTCAGTCCTAACTAAACTTTGCGCCAAAATTGTAACAATCATTATGAATAGTCAAAATGTAAACAATGATCGCAAAAATCGGCTACGGACGAATCGGAAGTACGAATTCCATTTGACGTAATCCGAATGATGTTTTGATTTTTAAGGATCCAGATTATTACAGTCGAATGAAATTTGGCGTCAATTAAATTGAGCATTAAGTTTAAATCTGTGAACAAGGATGCACTCTCATACAATCACGAGAAATCCCGTCGATGGGAACGTGATTTCAGAATATGCGAACGTTTTCGTCGAATTTTGCCACATTGAAAATTGTCGTCTTACATTTCAGGCATTGTATATCTAATAAAGTCCAAAATTTGTGTAAAATTTTCAGTTAGTAACAAAACCTCGCGCCAACGAAAATTCTCGGAAAGTAACGCTCTACGCGTTATTTCAAATTGAGGGACATGCGCATGCGTGCATTTGAATATAGGCCCAAAGTTGCCTACGCTGGCTAAATAATATTTTTTTTTACTATAGCCGAGCCTTTTGTGGGCCATGAACTTGAGGATTTGTAAAATCACAACTCTTATAAAAATAAACCCAGGGGAGGATCCAGGTTTTTTTTACAAAATCACACAAAGCATTCGATCAGTACTAATATTCTAGTCCTTGTTCTGATTTCTTTAAGCGCAACTCGCATATCAACAGTGTTCTTTAATTCGTACCTTCATGCAGAAATTTAATATTTCGACAGTGTAACCCCAAACTTTTTTTTCGTTATCTCCGTGCAGAATTTTATGAAGCCCATGCATGCAAAAGACATAAGCCATTTTTGATATTGAGATAATCATATGTTGCATAAGCTCCAGTGACGTCATAGAGGCTCCCTCAGTCTACCGATTCTGATTCTGACCATGAATTCAATTCTAATATTCTAATATTTTCGCCATAACCGATTGAAATCGTGCATCACCAGTTTTCCTCTCATATCTGAATGCTGAAAATTAATATTTCTACAGCGTGTAGCCACAAACTTCTCTGTCGTAAACTTAGTGCAGAATTTTATTATGCCCATAAAAGCCATTTTATGATAAGATTAGCATATGTTGCATAAACTCCAACGACGTTAGAGGCTCAGTCAAATCCACCGTTGTCATAAATTCAGTGCTGAATAAATTCAGAGCAGGTTTTTTTCACATTGTTTTTTAGGTATTTCTATTGACAAAAACAATGAGGCAGAACTGTTTTTTTTTAAGTTTTTCCTCATAAAAACAAGACTGAGAAAATATCCTCGACTCGCCCCAAACGTGCCATCTACCGATCATGAAGATGAATTTGGTCTTTTAGTCTTTTATATTTGCCATTCCCTGTATCAAACAAACAAATAACACTGCAAATATAACTAGAGCTAAAGTGTTTGTTGAGTTACAACTATATTATTTTGCCAGTTAAGTTGTGAATATTTTTATGAACAGAAATTCATCAACTTTCAGTGGAACCATTTGTTTTAACTTGAACAAAACAAAGCATCCTTTCGGGTTTTATTAGTTTCAGTATACATTTTTATTTACACTGATGACATCATCAGTTAAAATGTCCAACCTTACTATTGATTGATGTATATCAACATGTGTGCTCGCGCTTACTTCAAAACAGCGCATTTTAAAAGTTTTTGTTTTTCCGCTTTTAAGTGCATTTTGGTTTAAGGGATGTTCGAAAAATACCTCAAACTCCGCACTTTAGTCCCCCTCATCACAAAAAAAGTGGGGGGATATAATACACCCCCCAGGATTTACGCCCCTAAACCAACAATTTCGTGGGAGTATAGACAGGCATTACACAGGCAATAAGTAAAAACAAACGTTTAGTGATGCAAGAAAACACCTACACGGCACCCCTGCCCTACGTCTAACGGAGCATGCAGTGTAGTTCGCAGATTTGTCACAGTCACAAATGAGCGCATTTGGACAGACCGACCGACCGCGTTTCACTGCACAACTAGCACACACCTTTTACAGTTTGCGATGCACTACGAAGACATTTTACACCACATTGGCCAATTTGGCAAATACCAAAAGTGGATTATTGTGCTCCTTTCCATGGTGCAAATCCCAACGGCATTTCATTTCATAGCTCAGGTTTTTCTAGCGGCCAACACCGACCATTGGTGCGTGATCCCTGCCGGTCAGGCCGTCAACTGCAGCCTGCTCCAGCTGGACTCGGTGTCTGCCTGTCAGGAAGCGCAGAAGAACCAGAGTATCCCGTACGAGTTGGACTCCCAAGGATGCCGAGTTTACTCCTCGTGTGAGCGGTACGTGTTCGATGATGAGGAAGACGGCGACCAAGCTACCAACTCGACGGATGTCGTCGCCTGTGATGCTGGCTGGGATTTCGACCGATCGCGCTACAAATCCACCATCAATGAAGAGGTATCTGGATTTTAAAATAGTCCAGCTGCAAGATCAATAGCCTTAACAAACATATTTTTGCATTTTGGAAAAGTCTAGTTATCTACATATACGCAGTTTCCCGTATCATAATTATAAAAGTTTGTGCTGTATACTCATTCGTTAATTAATGAAAATATATTGCACTGACTGTTAAACATTTTTGTGAAGATCCGTGTTTACACCCAGTTTAATATGACCATATACGTCCCTACATGGTTACTGTTCCGATTAAGATGTGAATGTTTTTGCTTCTACAGTTTAGTCTTGTGTGCGACAGAGAATATCTTGTGGGTCTCGCCCAGTCAGTCTGGTTTGCTGGTGTACTGACGGGGTCCTTAGTCTGGGGTTCGGTGGGTGATTGGTGAGTACAGGGGAAGACTATAATTCACAAGATGATTTGCCCGATCTAGTCTGCACTTCCCATATGTTTCCATGGCACGGCGGCTTTTTTTTTTGGGGGGGGGGGGTAATGTCATGTATAATTCAGTTTTTTTCCCTTTGAATCATTGCAAGACACTTTAGATTCTCGTTCTCTTTTTTCCCTTAAATTAAAATTATCTCAACGATAAATTTAGAGAAGCAAACTGGGATCTCTGTATCCATAGCTCATTTCGCTATAGGCTACTGTGGTAGCTCGAAAACGACCGTACTTTAAAATGCTTTAATGTAACTGGTTGACTAACAAGGCTCTTGATATCATTGTTCTGTTCTCGTGAATACCTAACTGGCCTGATCGAACTTACTAAATTATCAATGACTTGGCCCTATCCTCGGGAAAAAATCAAGCCAGCGGCTGTTGTTCACTGACGATAAACTACCAAAAAACGAGAAGTGGGGCCGAGCGCAAGGATTTTCTGACGACTTCAAAATCGTCCTGTTAAACTTCGAATCGAATGAATGAATGAATGAATGAATGTGTTATGTTCGTTTATATTCAATATAGCTCTTGATTTAACCTTACACCCATTGCTTAATAAATTAACGAAGTGAAGCAAGGGTGAATCCATGGGAGCGGATGGGGTAGCCCCGCCCCCTTCCAACTGACCCATGTTTTTACATAATGGAAAAAGTACAAAATGTCCTCAATTTCCATGATATGAATAATGTCATCGCACAAAAAATCTTGATTAAATGCACCAGGCCTTTCGTTTTTGGTCTATGCGTTGACTGCAAAACCTCATCCAACACCCCCCTCCCACTCCCGAAAAAAAATCTTTAACACTATACGCCTCTGGAAAAAAATCCTGGAACTGCCGTTGCATTGAAGTTAATCGAAATGAGATCTTCATCATCTGTAATTCACAGGCTGGGTAGAAGAAAGACTCTCATCCTCAGCCTAACCCTGGTCTCCATCTCATCCATTGTGACGACCTTCGCCCCTAGCTTCGCTGCTTTTACCGGCCTGCGTTTCGTTACGGCTGCCTGTGCATACGGGGCTTTCCTTATGAGTTTTGTCATTTGTAAGTTGCATTTTCATGTATGATTTTAACACTTCCAAACGTAACTCAACGCGCTGCAGCTGCATATGGGAAAGAATGTTGCGTCCTGACGCCATATTTTTTTTATCATATATTATCTCAGTGAATGTCAGTCATTGCAAAAATGTTGAAAAGACATGAATCTGGGAGTGAGAAACATTTCCAAATTTGTTAGAAAATACTTCGAAAATGTACTCCACTCTCAATAGACTTTGTACACAACCAAAGACGTGGCGTCTGGATACTACATTCTTTCCCATATCTATACATTCTGAAATGGATGCATTTACTCTCAGAAGCAAGAAATGTAATGGATGCGTGTATTTACGGTCACACTAAAGAAAAAGACCATAATGTCAGAGGACGAACTGCAATTTATTAGTAAAAGAATGACATATTTATATTTGAGTGCAAGGAAGCAATTATCATCTATATCATTGCATAAATAATTAGTCATCGTGAAATAACGACGGGTCTTGTTAGGGAATAATAATTTGAAGGTTTTATTCAATATGTTCCAATCATTATACATGTACGATGGAACAAAATCGTCTGACTGAATTACAGGTTTTCGTTTCACTCAATGGCAGTGAATGTTGAAAAAAAGCCGGTACTCCGTCTCATTATGAAATTAATTAGGCTGGGTTTACCATGCACCGTTTTTTCAAGGCGCTTATACATCCTCAGTTTTTCATTCCCCTTTTTGTAAGATGATTTAACAACAAATTAAAATTTCTGTAATTAACGACGGACCAAATTCATTCCAAAGCCGGAAATATGTTCTATCCGCGATGAAAAATGTTCAACTTATGTGCCTGGACGTTAGCCTCGATGGGCTGAGACTGTTTTGATACCGAATCCAAGGGCGGATCCAGAACACAATTTTGGGGGGGGCCAAAAAAAAATTTGGTTCCCCCCAAAAAGTGGGTCAAAAAAATTACGGCGTGGGGTTCGGGGCCCGCTTAAGGGCCCCGAAAAAATTTTGGATTCTAGATGCTCTGTGGTGTGATCTGAGGCGATTTCTGACCACTTTAACCAATGTTTTTTTTGAGGAAAAGATGGTGGTGTACTCATTGCCTGCCTTTATTGCGATGTCAAAAAGTGGGTCAAAAAAATTACGGCGTGGGGTTCGGGGCCCGCTTAAGGGCCCCGAAATTTTTTTTGGATTCTAGATGCTCTGTGGTGCGATCTGAGGCAATTTCTGACCACTTTAACCAATGTTTTTTTTTTGAGGAAAAGATGGTGGTGTACTCATTGCCTGCCGTTATTGCGATGTCACATAAAAAAAAAATTGATTTCGTTTTGGGGGGGGGGCCATGGCCCCCTTTGGCCCCCCCCCCCCTGGATCCGCCCTTGACCGAATCATTCGCAATTCGGGGCGCTTATAATTGAAGTTTGGATGTCCTTTATGCTTAACCCATCTATCGATTTAGTGAAATTTTGCAGACCTAGGCCTAATGTTTTTCTTTTCTTTGTCGGCCGTATAAAGGTCTCAATCCCTCTCGGCGCAACCGTAATCCTCCCAGCTCGAATTTACAACACTCGGATATTCGACATTTTTGACATTTTACCCTTTTGTACTATTAAAATGACTGAGAGTAACTTGAGAAGAAGTCTAAATATGTATACTTCACTCCTTGCACTAAATATTAATTCGTAAAGTTTTAAAAAGAAAACATCTCTTGCCAAAAAATATCCCCAGTCTCTCACCATAGAGCAAGGAAGCCCTCGCGTGTGCCACTTGTTTAAAGCCAACCAATTTATGGCGTGTCAAACGTTGCAAAATTCAATGTTTAACAATATTATATGTTCGATGTTCAATATTTGTGTGTTATCTTTTACATTTATGTGTGATTTCAGTATATGTGTGCGACGTTCAATATATGTGTACGATGTTTTACAATATTGTGTGTGATGTTCAATATATATGTGCGATGTTTTACATTTATGTGCGATTTTCAGTGTGTGCGATGTTTTACATGTGCGATTTTTCAATTATATGCATGCGATGTTTTACATTAAATGTGCAATGTTTTCGATATAATTATGTGTGATGTTCTACAATATATTTGCGATATTCTGAAATACGGTCAACAATAATTATTCATTTATTAATTCATTCATTTATTCATTCTTTCATTCATTTTTTGTTAAGCTACGGAGATAGTTGGACCTAACAAGCGTGTGCTGGTGGGAACTGTGGCGGCTATACACTTCGCCATTGGCTACGTCATTCTGTCCGTGTTTGCATACTTTATACGGGACTGGCGCTACCTGCAATTAGCGATTTCGCTTCCGTGGCTCGCGTTGTTCCCACTCGCGTAAGTACATTTTTGTAGATTCAAAGAAGTAAGTCACAGTAAAATGGACTTCTCCCTAATTTGCCCACTGAGAGAGTATATTGTTTGCTGTGCTTAAAAGCCGACGATATTTTCTTCGATTTTAAAAGTTAATTTATAACGTCAAGGGAGGATCCTGAACACTTTTTTTTTTGGGGGGGGGGGGCAAAATTAAATTTGGTCCCACAAAAAGTGGATCCCAAAAATTACGGCGTGGGGTTCGGGGCCTGCTTGGGCCCCGAACATTTTTGGATTCTAGATTCTATAGCTGTGGTGTGATCTCAGGCAATTTCTGACCACTTTAACCAAATCTTTTTGAGGAAAAGATGGTGGTGAACGCAGTACCTGCGTTAAAAAAAATTGGGTTTTTGGGGGGGGGGGGCGTGGCCCCCGTTGTCCCCTCCCCCGGATCCGCCCTTGCATTTCGTCCGCTGCTCTGTATCGTTTTTTTTTTAAAGTTTATTTTCGAAATCAAAGTTCTAACTCTTATGCATTCTATCGCGAATTGTCCGTTGAAGGAATGTAAAATTTAGTCTTAATAGTATTCCGTCTTCATAATTCCGTGAATAAACCTGAATAAATATAAAAGAACATCGATCTTGTACAGTAATATGCGGCTTCATGCAAAGTGCTATTGTTTATACAGAGAAGAAGGGGGACGCACGAGTATTGAAAACAAGTACATGTATTGAAAACAAGTATTATATATACTTCCAACTGTGCTTTACAATGCTGAAAAGATATTGTGATATGAATGTGTATAGAATTCTGCCTGAATCTCCACGCTGGCTGATATCCAAGGGTCGCTTCAAGGAAGCCGAGAAAATCATCACAAAGATCGCCAAGGTGAACGGCACCAAGGTCCCGGACAACCTGTTTGAAAATCTCGAGAACCTCCAGGAAAATGAAAGGGTAGGCACTCGATATTTGGAACGACCTTGTAGTCTGGTGGGGTTTAGGAGCTGTCTGTAGGCCTACGCTGAAAAATTGCCTGGGTTAATTTTACCCAAGCAAGGGTGAAAACTGCAACTACCCAGAATTGGGTTATGCTATTAAAATGTGGTCTTGTATGACCACAACTTTTGGTTGAATTTAAAAGAAATTATAACCCAATCAATTGTGTAAAGGACAACCCAAATTTGGGCTGCAGTTTTCACCCTTGCTTGGGTAAATTAATCTAGGCAATTTTTCAGAGTATCGGCTTTTGCCCTCCCGCCTTAATTAAATTAAATTCTTTCAAAATTTCCCCAAAACGGAATGGTCTGTGAACATTAGGCTTTATTTTAGGCAGGAACATTTTTTTCTCTGGAATTAACAGAATGGAATAGGATAGGGTAAGTGCTCAAACAAATCTTTATTTCCATTTAACTTTCATATTGAGATTCAATCAACCTGCACATTAATTTTGTGTAAAAAATTATGAAATGTATTTGAAGAAACTAATAATTGGAAGCAAATTGAACAGTAGATTATTATTTTCAGTCTACAGCAGAGTTCTCATCTTATCACATGTTATCTCGTTCCTCCGTCTGACTGACATACCTCGTATTTGCACTATTTGCCATCAATGATTTTGATACGATCGTCAGTGATTTCCTCTTTTAATTAATTTTAAAATTTATCGATTGTAAATTTTGGTATCAATTTTTCTCCCTTTTAATTATGGAATATGAATTGTATTTAATTGTGCGGATGTTTGTTTAGAATCCGCGGTTTTCCTCATATTGCCTCAGACTGTGAGAAATATCTACTTGCCTTCCATTTCTAGGATCCGAAGCCAAGCTCCGTTCATCGGACAACCTTCTTGGATCTTTTCCGAACACCAAACATCCGCAAGAAGACACTGATTATCTTCTTTAACTGGTAAGCAACAACCACACAAGTGTTAATATATACCGTGAAACTTGGTTGTTTGAGCACCAGTTGCGGTGTGTGGCTCATGTATACAATGGTACGGGTGACGGGAAACGTGGTGTTTGTGTTCTTGGGCAAGACACTTTACTACAATTGCCTCGCTCCACCTAGGAGTATAAATGGGTACCTGTGAGGTTTTAATAAGAGACTGCTGTAGGAAACTGGTCCCATGGCCTGATAAACAGAGGTAATAATACATTTTTGCGAAGCACTTTGAGATGAAGCGTTATTCATCACAGTACGCCTATTACATGTATATCATTCTTATTTATAAAATGGACAGCGAAATATGAAGCTCGTAATGTGTATGGCAAAACTTTTTCCATAAGCATGTCAATATTACGTGTAAGTCTGACGTCTTGTTTCTTTCATTTACAGGTTTGTGGTCAACATGGTGTACTATGGGCTATCCCTCAGCACCTCCTCACTGGGCATAGACGACTACGTGGCCGCCTTCGTGTCCGGTGCCTTAGAGGTACCAGCCCTCCTTTTGAACTGGTTCGTCATGGAGAAATTCGGCCGACGATTCTCCCTCTCAGCTCTCTTTGTGTCCGGAGGCGTCTTCTGCCTGATAAGCAGCTTCGTTCGTAAGTTTCTATCTTTCTTTCAATTTCCACATTTTGAATAAGCATTACTAACGAAAACAGAGTCACTGCGATAGCGGCTTCATTCTGAATTGTCGTCACTTTCTTTCAGCTCTCGGTGCTGGCCGGGTCGCGGTTGCTATGATTGGCAAGTTCGCTAGCACAGCGGCCTTCAATCACGTTTACATCTACAGCAGTGAGCTCTATCCGACGGTCATCAGGTAAGATCCCGATGAAGGACCGTCGATCAACTTTCATAAGACGCCATTTAGAAATGCTAACCGTTTTAGTGAATCAATTTGGCAACTTTACTGCGATCTAAAATTATAACATGCAACATAACAGACCATTTTGTGAGCCCCTGCGGGCGCTGTTTACCATACCACTTTTATATGACCAATTATTTGGCAACTCATTACAGTAGCGGATCTAGTATAGGGGAGGGGTTGCAACCCCCTCCCCCTTCCCTTCAGCCACTGACTGATGTTGTGATACTGGAAAAATGGGGCCAATGCTGAAGTTCCTAAAATTGATTCTCACATTGCGTTAGAATGCAGGAGAAATCATCGCAGATTTCAAAATTTTCCGGGGCATGCCCTCTGACCCCCTAGTTTCGGTGTACGCCTTCACTCGAACGCCCCCTTCATAAACACCCCTGTTTCCTGAAAGATAGATCCGCCCTTGTATTATAGTATGGAATAATCAAATTTATTACGAAAGTTATTTTCTCGTACATAGGCCTATTTGTAAATTAAATAAGTCACTAAACAGACAGCGCAACTACGTACGTTGATTGCCATCTGATTATCCTTGAGTGTGGAATACGGAACCATCTTTTTTCACCTTATACGGTTGATAGGAGTATTGGTATGGGAGCATCTTCCATGACAGCCCGCATCAGTGGGGTTCTTTGCCCCATCATCTTGATCCTAGGCAAGTACTGGCAACCCCTGCCTCTCTGTGTCTTCGGAGGCAGCTCCGTTCTGGCCGGGATGCTGTCTCTGATGCTGCCGGAGACCTTGGGTTGTGACATGCCGGACACGATACAGGATGGAGAGGAAGCCGAGAGTAAGTCCAAAGCTTCATTTAAAAAATCAAACAACAAATAAATAAAAAGCCCAACAAGCAACAAACCACAAAAAAGAGAAGCGATATACATATAGTGTAACTTTCGACATTGCTTAGTTAAAGACAAATTAACGACTTGAGTGTTAAATTAAATAAAAGTAAGAGGGACGGATGCTTCTACCTTAATATGATCTTTCTCAAATTGCGAATTTTCATAGCTAAAACAGAATATCACTTGAAAATATTCATCTTTATCACAAGCATATTTCTGAAACTCGGAGCAAAATAACTGAAAGGGTTTTTGCACATTAGAATCACGCTGTTTCATCCCACAACTCCTCCTCAATGACTATTTTGTCTCACCTATTTCTTACAGTGCGTCCCGGCCTCCGTCTGTGCTGCAAGAAAGATCTTGAAGACGACATTGACTCGAAACCTCCCCAGAACTACCTGCCACTATCAAAAACCAACAAATCTCCGACTGAGCCAGTGGCAATCTGAGGTCTGAATGGAGTTACTTCCTCTCAATATTCCATTTTGAATATGAATAAAACTGCCTCAAGCTCACTGACTGGATTGACCTGAATTATACAGATCAACAAATTAGAGTGGCCTGATATTTCATCCTTATAGCACGGACTTCTTCGGAGGCAAATGACAGAGCAACAAGAAACAAACATGTAGGGGACACACAAATCTTCCTTTTTGGTCATTTTCTTAATTGGTTTATTGGTTGAGAATTGCTTTAATTTGTTAACTCATTATACAACTTACTGATTTTGAAAGAAGCAACAAACCACCGTTTGCAACTTTTTTTTATTCCATAACCAGCTTCCTATATAGTGATTTAATTTTCTGAAAATTAAAACGTGACGGTTAAAAACCAAAAGCATGTTTACTACGTAATTATGGAAACTTCTGTACTATTCCGAAACATTATTTCATTTCAGTTTATCTAATTACCACTGAAAAAAACCCAATGAGTGGTCGAATTGCATTGATGTGTCAATTCTTTCAGAGAGAAAGTAACAATAGGAATCATATAAATTCTTTCAGAGAGAAAGTAACAATAGGAATCATATAAAGAACTTTACAGTATAAACACAAAAATTATTTGTGAAAATTTGTGTAAAACAAACCACTGCATAATAGGTAGGATAACTCCAACGCCTGAAGAAAATCACACATCTCGGTACATTTTGTTAAATTGAATATTTTCCAGTTATTGTTACCTCATATGAGAACAAACTAAAACGCCTCTTATTTAAACTAAGTCGAATTTTGTGTATAAGTTAACTGAAACTATTTTATTTAATATTTATTATCATTGAAGAATCTGCGAAAGTGGGCAATTTATTATTTATATAGGAGGAACGTGGAATACTAATTTTGTTCAGGTTTATATCTAGAGTTATCTAACCGGACTTTTTATATTTTAGCTCAGAATGTAATATTTCTTGAAACTTTGATTTATTTTCGTCAATTGGTGGAAGGATTTTCAGAGATTTTAGAATTGGTTGTATTGGTTCAAAAGAGACTCGTAGTAAAAAAAAAAAGAAGTAATGCTGTGATTGACTAAACACGTGTGGTTTACTACCGTCTTGCGTGTAATAATGGGAGTGCATACAGTCTACACCAATCCGGGCACTTGTATCACGGAGACCCCTTTCAATGGCGAAAACATTGTGCTTGTAATTATTGTTCAGATGGGTGCAGACCAGTAAATCGGTCCGAAATTGCCTGCGCCGGCCAAATCACGATGTGCATGCCCTCAAAATCTTCAGTATTTGAGCATGCTGTGGGACATGAACTTGAGGGTTTGTAAAAAATATGGGTGGAAGCCGTGCACAGGACTGGTAGCTTGTAGTTCTGTGTAATTTGGATGTAATTTGGACCCTAAAAGCGCTCTATTTTGCAATGGAGTGTAGGCATCGTTTTTCAAAATGGCGATGGGCTTCAGGACTATTTTCAGGGGTGATCATCTTCGGATGGAAATTTCTCCTAAAAGTCATCAGTTGACCCCCAAAAATTGAAAAGAAAATGAAAGATGATGAAATAAGCTTTAATTTGATGTGTGTCTCGAACACCTTGGAGAGTTGTGAGTATTTTTTCCCGAATTTCTGAAGTGGGAGCATTTACCATTGGGGTCTATGGAAGTTCATTTACTGGTCTGCTAACAGATGCACACGGGGTAGTTTAAGCTTTGTACAATAGCGCCAGGGGCGGCGGAACGCTTTTCAAACTGGGGGGGGGGGGGACACCAAAAGGGGCACTTGCTCAGAAAAAGGGGCACCTTTCGTCGGTGTGAAAGTGGAGGAAAAGAATATGGTCCCGTTCATTTCGCTAATAAACCTATATGACGAGGAACAAAATTATGAATACGTTGTCCATCTTGCTCTTTGCGTTTCTTTTACCTGTAGAGAGACCTTTTTTGTTTTAATCGCGAGAGGGACACTGTTGCTTTTGATTGCCAGTTCAGTGAACATTCGCGTGAAGAGCACTATTAGTTTTTAGGGGCCAGCTAGTTCCATCTTGAGAGGGGCACAATTGTAATGTTGCGTGTGGGGCACTAATTGTGCTAACATTGTTAGTGAGGAGTCTTTTTGTAGACCTAAATAAAGAGAGATGAATAGTTTTAGGATCAAGTGAAATAATTAATTGAAGTCTATAATTTCATCTGATCAATACACCAAACAAGGTTACCAAACAACAAAGTGGCAAAAAAAAATCCCGAAAAATCATCACTAAAATCGCACACAGACAGGATAATGTCTATACATACAATGAATCGAGAGATACAGGCCAAACAAAAACAGGGTTGAAAGTAAAAGAAAACTTTATTCCAATAACCTTTTTTAAATATAGATATTTTTTGTTTTCTTAAAAAAAAAGAATATGTAGGGGGGGGGGGGAATTACTTATATAGGCCGACTAATAGTACATCGATTGCGGGGGCCCATATTTAAATTCGCGCCTTCCATCGTATAACGTTTCACCGAGTCGAAAAGGGTAGTTTTATTTCGGATAATATAAAAAAAAACCAAAAAAACAAAAAACAACGATTTTATCCCTGGCGGGACTCGAACCCGCAGTCTTCGGTTTAGGAGACCGACGCCTTCTCCATTAGGCCACAGGGACTGATGACGACATTCCAAGTCTTTACAACTCATCCAGAACTGTGAAGCTCACAGACTTTGAAAGTAGCAAGCACTTGAAATAAATTATTTTCTTAAAGGTGTACTGTCCGAGCTATTGTCGAATTCAAGCCCGGAAAAAGTGGTTAATTTTCTGCTTAGCAACTCCTTAAAGATGCACTCCTTGTTTTATTTTCGAGTTTCCTACCGAAAAACAAGGGCGGATTCAGGGGGCCAACGGGGGCCATGCCCCGCCCCCCCCCAAACGAACCAAAGTTTATTTTGTTTTAAGTGACGTCGCAAGAAAGGCAGGCACTGCGTACACCACCATCTTTTCCTTAAAAAAAAATTGTCAAAGTGGTCAGAAATTGCCTCAGATCGCACCACAGAGCATCTAGAATCCAATTTTTTTGTTTTGGAGCCCTTAAGTGGGCACCGAACCCCACGCCATAATTTTTGGACCCACTTTTTGGGGGACCAAACATTTTTTGGGCCCCCCCCCAACAAAATTGTGTTCTGGATCCGCCCCTGCCGAAAAATATAGATTCCTTTTCTAAATTACTATTTTTCTAGCAATATATAAGTTATTCACTTTTGAATGAGACATCGGCGGACAAAATCGTTCCTTTATTGAATTATTACTTTAAAATTTCGAATTATTGGCTGCCAGACAATAATTCCCGTTCTCGAGGGGTAGGCTGGTTCCCGCCCCACAATCAATATCGAAAATGTACGGACCGGGAGCCAGTCTTCTCACAAAAAGGATCTATGTGTGCCCCAAAACAAACAAAAACCCTTTTCAGAGGTTTGTAGACTTCCCAAGGGGGAAAAGGAGGTGTTTTTTTTTTGGTTGGAATAAAACAGGGGTATTTGGTATCTTCACTCAGAGCAAGGTTTTTCTCATTAAATCAGTAGCGCCGTTTCCAGCTGGTAATTAGCCATGTTCCTTCGTACCTTTAAGTACATTTTGTTTTAAAAATGCTTTTCTTTCAGATTTCTTTCGTTTGAAGGAGATATTTTCAGTAAAATGCATCAAAACAAATATGACGTTTGTTATAGCGGCCGTTCCCAAAATAAAAGCGAAATGGAATCCTCAAAAAAATGAGGGCGCTCTTTTCTCATCTTTCAGAAACTGTCTGTCTACCTTTACACCAGGGCTATTCTAGCCCGTCCATTATTTAAGCACGGAGTACGAGGTAAGCCCTAAAAATACGCACGCACGCATGCGACCTTCGTCTGGTTGAAGCCGATTTTCTTCCGAAATCGATGTAGAAAACAGACAGTTATTGTATTATTTTGATACGATTTGTGTTACAAGTACAGCCGAGACGAGATTTCGGGAATTATGGGGAAGGAGAAACCAGCAGACGTAGAGATGGTGGACGCTACGGCGAAAATAAACGGAGAGAAAGAGACGGCAACGGAGGAAGCCCCATCGAAGAAAGAAACCGACTTGATAACTCTCGATGGTATCGTCTTTGTTTTTCTCTAAAAGACTTATACAAATCGAAAAACATTTCAAGTTATAATTTTCTGATAATTTGTACTATATTTGCATTACATGTAAATTTTCAAGGCGAATTATGTTATCAGTAGGTTGTTTTTGATTGATTTAAATCGTTCAATTTCGCTGACTCATAAAAATGGTGGCAGCCATTGCTTGATATAGCATTGCGATTGTTTATGGTTGACCGTGTAATTCCGACATGTAAACTTTGGCGATGCTCACCATGGATGTTGTGAGACTCATTTGGAGAACATGATTTATTGGAGATTTTATTGAAATGGTTAAGTACTCTGACAGGAAAGATTCCCATATCTGGCCATCACTTGTCACCCTGTGCACAAACCCAATGGGACTGGTCTGAAACTTTCTAAGTCAGTAAAAATTCAAAATTTGTCCATGCTAATTTTGACTTTTTAGGACATATTATCACTTTCTGATAGCTGATAGGTCATTTAAGGGAAAAATTACTGATAGCCAGATATGGGAATCTTTCCCATACGGAGGTTATTTCATTTTCAAGTCTCGTTTTCCAATATTTTCAACACATTTTGAAGTCCTTTGCTTACCTTTTACCACCATACATGTATGTCGACTTGTCAACAAGGATTTTAATTAATAGTGACTACATGTACTTCTGTTTACTATGATGATTTAGAACATTGTTAACAAAATACAGTTGTAAAATGTAGTGGATATTTTGCCGTGACCGGCAATATACATAGGCCTATGCTAGCTGGAGTTACCCAGCCCTGAGTTTTATCATTGGGTTGTCTATTAGGGCTGGAGCGCATTTTTCTCGTAACTTGTAGTATTTGCAAAAAAAATTTGGAAAATGTTCAATTTTGTCCCCGTTACACACTAATTGCAACTGCAACTCACCCCAAACTTGCCTGGAATAACCATTACACAGGTCCTTGAAGTAAAAAACGATCCACGATGAAGATTCAGCCTACAATTGCAGTGAAAACAGGAGGAATAACCGCTAACCTGACAACCTTTCAGGCATGGCCAGGACTGCTATTGGTTTGTGCACAAAAAAAATTGTGTACAATGAATGGCGGTCGATTAACAGGCAGAGAGAGCGATCGCTGTCAACTACTCGGTTTTGCCGGCTGTGCTGGCGTTGGCGCGTGACGTCACGCGGAAGCGTAACACCCGACGACTGTTTCATGCACTAGTATAAGGTTTACCACTCGCATCACAGCTTTGGTACTGGAACCGCAACCAATAGTGCATGAAACAGTCATCGGGTGTTACGCTTCCGCGTGACGTCACGCGCCAACGCCAGTGCAGCCGGCAAAAACGAGTAGTTGACAGCGATCGCTCTCTGTGCCTGTTAATCGACCGCCATTCATTGTACACAATTTTTTTTGTGCACAAACCAATAGCAGTCCTGGCCATGCCTGAAAGGTTGTCAGGTTAGCGGTTATTCCTCCTGTTTTCACTGCAATTTTAGGCTGAATCTTCATCGTGGATCGTTTTTTACTTCAAGGACCTGTGTAATGGTTATTCCAGGCAAGTTTGGGGTGAGTTGCAGTTGCAGTTAGTGTGTAACGGGGACAAAATTGAACATTTTCCAAATTTTTTTTGCAAATACTACAAGTTACGAGAAAAATGCGCTCCAGCCCTAATAGACAACCCAATGATAAAACTCAGGGCTGGGTAACTCCAGCTAGGCCTATGCTACTTTGCCGTGAGTGCACTATGATTGGGCCCAAAAAAAAAAAAATTGCTTCCGATTGCATAAAAGGGTAGGTAGATGGACCTTTTGGGGGAGGGGGCAATTTTTGGAAAAAATGTTGCAACCTGACGCCACTTTTTCCTTCATAATCATCTCAAAGAAGGTCATTCATTGCAAAAATGAGGATAAGACATGAATCTGGAACTGAGAAACATTTCCAATTTTGTTAAGAAATACTTAAAAAATTTGCTTGACTGTCCATAGACTTTGTACACAATCATGGAAGTGGGGTCACGTTGCAACATTTCTTCCCAATTTTTTTTGTGTACGATCATATGGAGGCGTCTGCATGTAGTCAAGGGTAAAAGTTAGTAATTGATTTTTTTTTAGTTTCTTTTTTCATTTGTCCCATAAAAAAGATTAGGGTAGGGACTGTCAGAATAGGGTAGGTAGGGAAACCAGAAGAAAAACTCTTTTTTTTTGCCTTAGCTGTTTTGATGGGAAAAGTGTTTATTCATGAGAAAAGAAAATTACTGTTGTCATGCTATTGTTTTTTTTTTGGAGGGGGGCACCCTGTATCGTGTGAGCTTGTGCTATTTACACGTATCTCTTTATTTGTAAACAGACTTCAAGGAGCATGTCAAGCACATTGAGAAGGCTGTGTCCTCCAAGGAGAAGAATTACATGTCAAGGGTCGTCAGGGCATTGACCTCATCCCGGCGTAAACTCAACCATGAAGTATTACGTAAACTCATCATGGGTTACTTCACCTCTTCCAGTGTCGCCAGAGAGAATCTTATCACATTTCTTGATGAGGTTGGTCTGAAATTGGTCTTCATCTTTTTGGATGCTGTTTGTTCTAGGAATCCCAATAACTGTTTGTCTGATTATAAAGAACCATCTCAACCAAGCATTAAGCCGAACCCTGTAGTATATTTTAGGGTATTTCATCCAGAAACTCTGCCCAGCGAGCAACAACATGCAATACTTTTTCGAAATGAGAAGTCAGCAAAGTGACAAACGGCCCAACTAGACAACTATCCCAAGTTCAAATTGCCTCGACTCCATGGTTGGCAACTGCACCAGATACAACGGTGGCATTGTTCAATGGGACTAGGTCTCATTGTCTCAGAAGTGGCCGTTTATGCACTGGTGTTGATGGCTGCACGCAGTCTAACAGACTTTTACCATTACTGCACTGTGTAGCATCCGGCAGGGTTTAGGGTAGGTAATTATAAGAAATGCTGGTTAAGCAATACGATCAATAAATCTCCCAAAATAGGTAAATTGTCTTTTTACTTTTTTTATTTGATACTTTCAATTTAACACAAATGAAATCATTGAAATCCTGTAAAAAAATGAACAAAGATTTTTTTCATGGGTTTTAACTCTTCATCAATAACCATTGTATGTTTGTTTTTGCCAAATGAATAAATAAATGAAGTTCCTCAATCAAATAAGGTTTTGCCCTTCACCGACGTTTAAACACTGTATACTCAGTGTGTTACCTCCCGAGTGAAAGTTGGAAAAAATCACTCGGGTGGGACTCAAACCCACGACCTCCTGCTTTCTAGTGCAGACGTCTTACCACTCGACCACTGAGGTAATGGGATCGGTTGGCTAGTTCAAATCAAGTGTACATAGCAGCGGTTACCACATTAACTATTCATAAGAATGAAGTTCCTGATGCAAGTTTCATCAACAAGAAATTGGTTTCTTTGCTAAATTTAGAAGTACTTCCTATTCAAAGATAACTTTACAAGGGAAAGGTTTTGTGTTTTTTACCTGGTGAAATATTTCTTATTTTACACAGCCGATGGATACAACGGATAACAATATCATCTTTCGGCCTCGTAGTAGCAAGACAGCAAACGGTCAACTACTCCCTGAGCTCGATGTGTATGTCCATCTTCTGCTTGTGGTGCATCTCCTTGATACTAAAAGATATGATGAGGTATTCCTGAGTTTATACTTGAGAAATTCGAAGCCATTTTGAGGTGGTGCCACGCCCGCGCACATGCCGCACACGTTCTTAAAGACGAAGCATGCGCGCATTTTTGTAGACCTATTGGTCAAAGGAGCCCGTGACTTGCGCAAGCCTGGTGGCACCGCAGAAAATGGCTGTCACCGAATTAGTCTGTAGTTTATACTATTAGTGTACTATTAAAGTTTTAACCCTTCTGCTATGTAAGCAGTCAAAGACAGTCAAAATTTCCATCCCCTTCTCCCTCGCTATACCTTTATGAAAGGCTAGTCACCAGCAGTCAGATCCTGTGTCTAGCAAGCACTGTGGAGAGATTTCCATATAAGAAGTTCACTAGTTTTTCTCTGTATTGACTAACAAGCCCCCAGATAGCAATTTCATGTCATCAAAGTCCATTTGAGCAGTGAGAAAATACAAGCATTTTCTTAGAAAACACTTAGAATTTTTCAGTCCACTCTCATACATGTAGGGTTTGTACACAGGGTGTTGAGTGAGCTTCTTATATGGAAATCTTTCCAGCACTGTGACTAGTCAAAGTCAGTCAACAGACCATGAACAGTCAAAGCAGGCAAGTTGTGGGCACAGCTGGCTTATCAATTACCCACAGCCAAAGCACAGCTGTATCGAGTTACGTAAACAGTCACGGCCAGTCAATCCTGCTTTATGTGGCCGGCGTTTATCTCCGGTTTCAGTAGCATGAAACGACTGAGAATATTTCTACTCCCCTGGATGGGATGCTAGTCCATCGCAGGTTACTCCCCAGCTAATGCCGGTACCAATTTAAACTCCTGGGTGGAGAGAGGCAAGTGGGGGTGAAGTGGCTTTCCCATGGACAGAACGTATGGCCAGCAGCTGGATTCGAACCCATGACCCTTTGATTATGAGTCACAAACCCTAACCACTAGGCCACACTCCCCCACTACTTTATGTAGGCTGGGAATTTTTGACTGTTGAAACAAGTCACTTGTTTGATTGATTTTGACTGAAAGGACTACTTGGCACAGAATATATGTTTGCATATGAGGGTTAATGTATTACTGTTAGCCAATTGGCAAATAATTGTTGTTCTATGGCAGTTAAAAACCTGTCTCTTCGTTCACAGACACCCATTTTTGACTCTGTTAATAAAATTGTTGTAAAGGATCTTGCCAATGGGCACAAACGTCATGATTCGCACTCCGACAAATTTTGAAGACATTAGATGAACATGCAATTACTCGTACAACTCACACTATTGATTATTCCCATGTTAGGCTGTGGCGTGTTCAGACCTTCTCATGACAAAGATCGACATTCAGAACAGACGCTCCTTAGATCAACTCTCCGCCAAGGCGTTCTTCTATCACTCCAGAGCATACGAGCTGACTGGTCAACTGGAGAAAGTCAGGAGGTGAGCGGAGACTTGAGTAGGGTTTGTGAAACCTCGGTTTCGGTCCTGACTTGGGGAACTTCAGCTCAGTATGGGTACATGTATATGTCTTGCTTCAGGAACGTCATGGAGTTTAAGCCAAAGCTCTGGACAACGCCAAGGTTTCAAAAACATCTCCTAGAATCAAACCGGCCAGAACTGGTTCAAACTAGCAATTCCAGGTCAGAAGCAAATTGAATCGATTTCCAAACTTGGAATCAGAATTGTCATTCCATCTGTTCGTGGAATTGATTCCAAGTGGTCACAATTCAATTCTCCCAAGAATAGATTCTAGACAGTTCAAAACATATTTGTGTCAAATGATAATTTTTTCAATTATATAATATCTTTTAATGGCACTGCATATAATACTTCAGTGCTCAAGTTCAGTAACCCTAAACCCCTGGGTCTTATTGCTAGGATGCATCCTCGTCTTTCAAAATCATCCACTGCCTCCATGTTCGGATTCAGCCTCAATCCTCCAAAATCATCCGTTATTTCTTGAATTTGTTCATAAACAACACAGCCTAAAACCTTGACACAATGCATCCTCCAAAATCAACTGATCTGGTCACCTTTGCCATACAGCTTCAATCCTTCGAAATCGAAGAGGATTTTGGAGAATTTGGGAAGGTTAGGGTTAACCATAAATTTAAGGTCTTTTTTTTTTGAAGAATTGAATTGGATTCAATTTCGAATGGAATCTTGACACCTGTATGGAATTATGTTCTTAAAAAAAATGGAATATAATTATTTTTGTGTTTTTGGTGTAGTTTCCTGCACGCCAAGTTGCGGACGGCGACCCTAAGACACAACAACGAGGCCCAGGCCACGCTTCAGAATCTCCTCCTGCGGAACTACCTCCATTACAACCTCTACGACCAAGCCGACAAGCTCGTGGCCAAGTCCACCTTCCCCGAAGAGGCGTCCAACCACGAATGGGCCAGGTTTCTCTACTACTTAGGTGAGCCATCTGGAAAGTGGGGAAGTGAAAAATGCTTTGTTAACTTTGTATATATTTCTTCTTTGTTTATTAAAAATCTTTTAAAAAAATCACACGAAAACAATTCAGGGTGATAAACTGAAGGTTGAAACATAAGGCCAAAAAAAAGAATAGTTCTGCTTCCGTTTACCCGACCGACCCTATTTTTAGGCTGCGACCCTAAAAATTTTATCGGCAATTCCAAAAAAAAAAAATAAATGATTGAATAAATAAAAATAAAAACCTTATGTCTTGTCTGTCTTCACAAAATACCTCTCAACAACCCTTTTGCATCAAAAAATGCTTGTATTTATTGTTTTCTTACTTACATTCGCTATTTTTTCAAAAGAAACCTCCGTTATTTTTACAAATTCGCTGCGCGATTCAACTACTTCGCAATTCGATGTCTATAATCACGTGCGTAATAAGCGCAATGCGGCGACGACTGGTTCCCGCCGCGCCGCGCAGGGGCCAATTATGAAAATGCGGTAACTAGTCTGTGCACGGCTATGCGATCGTTAGCGCTAGCATGGCTATGCAGGCGCAGGCACGTGCTCTGTCAACTGGTCGGACTCGACATCGTAAAAATGCTGAGAAAGACATCGTAAAAATGCCAAGAAAACACCGATGGAGAAAGAACATTTTTGCAAGTTAATTCACAGATTTGATCTAGCTTGTCTGTGTATGTATTTTCCGTGTTCAAGAGTTCATTTTGAGATCGCACTACTCGTATTTGGAGTGATACAATGCAGCGTGTTTCCTGAAATGTTCGACCCGTTGGCCGCGGGCCACATATGTACATGTACAGTGCATCACACACTTCGGAGTTTTGGCCAGCTCCCCTTCTTGACTAGCGTTGTGCCTATGGTGCGAACGACCTGAATTTCCCACAATTTTTTTTACGAATTATCGAACGTAAATATATTGACAATAATTAAGGTAGGTTTTATTCACTTTTTGTGGCCATTTTGTGTATAGCTTTTGTAGTGCAATGGAAATAGTTCAGGCTAAAACTTCGCATATAATTGAATACCACATTCAATCTGCATAAAAAAAATTGGCAAAAAAAAAAAAATTCCGACCGACTGACCCTATTTTTGAAAGGCATGTAATCGGAAGCAGAACTATTCTTTTTTTTGGCCTAATATACCACATTTAAATGTATATACAGTTTTGTATTGGACGCACAGTGATCGATGGATTTTGATGGACTAGTAAAGTACGCTAGGGAGTTAGGGTTTACAATGATTTTTGGAGATTCTGCAGGATTGTGGTGGTGGCCACCCCTGCAATGAACAAATTGAAGAAAAAATGGGTAATTTTGGAGGATAATTTTGGGTAATATTACATGGAGGTAGTTGGATTGGGATTGAGGATGCATCCTAGCCAAAAGGGTCTATGGGTTTAGGGTTAATGAGTCCATCTTTTTGTGATTTTGTATTCCTGTCCGCAGGTCGTATCAAGGCTATTCAGTTGGAGTACTCGGAGGCCCATAAGAACCTGTTGCAAGCCTTACGCAAGGCCCCACAATACACTGCCATTGGCTTCAAACAGACGGTAAGTGGTGTCGGAGATTACATGGCGTCTTTGCCATCAAGCTGAAATGTACCAAGCCAGTTTCAGTAATTAACACTTAATTGTCGAGGCCTTTTCCGCTAGGCAAGCTAATAGTTTTCAGAAATAATCCAGTGTATGTGAAATCAATGACACATTCTCTGAGAGACACCTAATAGTTGAAAAACAGATTTTTATAGTTTCTTTAATTAAAAGCCACACAAGTTGAAAACTTGTTAGAAAAAAAATCATCAAGTTGTCGAAAGCTGACATTCTTTTAACCCTAACCGGGATTTACTAGGAACCTTCCTCACTCTTGCAAAGTCCAACACCATATGGTAACTCAACACCCAAACTGTTGGACTCTGATTATGGTGGTATGCCTGACCCCATGTAAAGCATAATCAGTTATACTAGTGCAGTACTCACTCCAACAGATTCCAACAAAACATGCAGATGGATTTTGAAGGGTTTAGGTGGTTAGGTTTAAAGCTACAGTCCATCATTTGCAGCTATCCAAAAAGTAACTGACGTAATTATTGTAGAAAAAAATTAGTTGAAAGATAGTAAGGGAACTAAACTCCCTGTGAAATAATTATCTGGCATGCTGTCATTTTGAAGAAATAAATGAAAAATTACAAATGATGGACTGTACCTTTAATGCACGAAAGACAAATAAAAAAAAATTAAATGAGCATGCAATGTGATTTTTTCTTGCTGATTTACCTCAAGTTAACTGTATTTTTCTAAAGACCTCATCTTAAATAGTTTTTTTTCCCAAAAATATTTCTCTTGTAGGTTCAGAAGCTAGCCATAACTGTTCAGCTTTTACTGGGAGAGATTCCTGACAGAGCCATCTTCAGACAGAAGGTTTACAAGAAGGCACTGGCCCCTTACCTACTCCTAACGCAAGGTACACTCCAAACCAAGGCGGATACCACGGCCACGTCGGAATGACATGGCTACGGCTTACAATTACATGTGCACTATGGAGGTGGCTGAAGCCACTTCCCATAGACCGTGCGTTACTGCCGAGCCGTAGCCAAGTAATTCAGCCGCAGCCTTACTCGGCTAAATAACAACTTGTTTTACGCTTCATTAAATATTTATTCATAAATTCTTAAGAAAGTTTTCCTATTGGTCGAGAGCCCGTCACGCGGGTGGTTTTAAACGGTTGATAAAACACCAACTGGTTTTAAACACTTTATTCATGCACCACTGCGTTCCGCACCACTGCGTTCCATGCCACATTGCACAATATGTGCCACGGGCATGCCAATTTCCATAAAAGGAGATTTTTAGCGCGATGCGCGTGAGACAAATACCATAGTCATGGCAAGAGGGGGTGTTTTACAAAACATGACGTAAAATTTGTTGAACGATATCGTTGGAAAATTGTGGATGTTTCACCCGTTTTGACTGAAAGGTATTTATAAATGGGAATAAATATGTGCTTGGCCGGTATTTAGCAAGTATATGTACCTTTAGAACCAGCTAGGGGCCTAGCCTCGGATTATGGCCCTCACCTTGGATTATGACCCTCACCTTCGGCTTGGGCCATTATCAGCGTCCAGGCACCTAGCCGGTTCTAAACGTACTTGTTTAAAACCGGCCAAGTACGTATTTATTGCCTAATAAATCAGCACAATGGTTGATATGTAGTAAGAAAATTAAGAATATCAAACTCCTTTTACATACTCCAAAGTAAAATGCAATAAGTAGGGTGAAAAATAATACAAATACTTCATGGTTGATATTTTGGCGCGAGTAGTGTAGAATTACCAGTCTGTGTTGTTTGCAATTTGATTTCCCCTTCCACTCCATGTCAGCAAACATCTTGAAATCTGCAATTTTGCAGTTGTAAACTTTGAACCATACTTGTGTATAACTTTGGCAACCCTTTTGGTGAAAGGACCATTGAAAGCCCATGTACGACCGTGCATGTGCCCATGTATTGCTAAAAAATGGTAATACTTAAAACTATATTACAAACAGAATATTCATCTAGAAAATCAAATACAATAAGATAAAAGGACGTAAGGTAATAAAACAAGATAAGGAGAGTCATCATCTGGGAACTGACCTACTGGAGGATGAACCGTGGGTGTCCTTCCAAAACCATGGTCAAGATGCTGATGGAGGACAGTGGCGCCACGACTGCTGATGAACTCAAGTGGACATGTGGCGTGTTCGTCATCGTGTCTGACGCAAGACAGGCATGCAACTTTTCCTCGGATCCGCTGATTTCCTTGTTTTTTACTTCTCATGAATGCCATTACAAATTGAAAAACACTATACAAAGTCTAGTGTGTTTTGGAGTTTCCTCGTTTTTTCTAAATTCCCAGTTGCATGACTGGCAAGTACAAGTTGTAGTTGTTCGATGATGATGATGTTGATAATTTTATCTACTCGGACTACAAAACCTAGGTACCAGTGGCTCATGTGGAGTTTAGTTGAACCAAGGAATGACTCTAACCTGCAACATCTTATGTCTTTGTCTCATTTTCCTCAGCTGTAAGAACGGGGGATCTACACCTCTTCAACCAGACCTCCAAGAACTTCACGTCCAAGTTCCAGTCGGACGGCACCTACACCCTGATCATCCGACTGCATCATAACGTGATCAAGACGGGAGTGCGCATGATCAGTCTCTCCTACTCCCGCATCTCGCTGTCGGATGTGGCCAAGAAACTCCAACTGGAGAGCCCAGAGGATGCAGAGTTCATTGTCGCTAAGGTAACGGATGTATTCTCTTACTGTTTATGTGAGGTGTTTGTGAGATTGTCTTTAGAATGTTTCATTGAGCCAGTGAGCAGGGTAATAATGATGTAGCGCCTTGAGCACCAATACTGGTGGATACGTGCGCTTTATAAGTGCAGTTTTATTATCATCATTTTTGCAAGATTTATAAAAGGGCCTATTACTTAGATTTTGCTCTTGCAACTTCCAACTCATTTTTGTTTTGTTTGGATGAAATATTCCGTTCAATCAGGCTATTCGAGATGGCGTGATAGAAGCCAGTATTGAGCATGAGAAAGGCTACGTCCGGTCCAAAGAGACGGTCGACATCTACTCAACGAGGGAACCCATGGCTGCCTTCCATCAACGCATCAGCTTCTGTCTGGATATACACAACCAAGCAGTCAAGGTATATTGCGGAGTCCCCTAATTGTTCATGCTAAGGATACACACCCAAGTGTGATCCCATGATGGAAAACGGCACTGCAAGGTCGAAACCATCATGGTGAAGTGCCGTGGCCTCGTGGTCTGGGGCATTGAAGTCATGGTCTGCGGGTAATTCCGCAGGTTGTGGGTTCGAGTCCAGTCTGGAGTTGTGGTGCGTGTGCCCTTGGACAAGGCACTTTGCCACTCATTGCTTCTCCCCACCCAGGAGTAAATGGGTACCTGTGAGGGTAGAGATGGTTATTGTGATTGATTTTAGCTGCTTTGTGCCGAAATGGTAGAATTGAGCTGTATACTCCCCAGGGAGCTGAGATGGTATTTGGAATGTTTCATTGGCCCAATGATCAGGGGTAATAATAATGTAAAGCGCTTTGACCTTAGTTAAAAATGCTATATAAGAACTGTTATTACTATTATCATCCAGCTGTAGACTTTTATCACATTGAATTTGATGTAGTCAAGTGTGAAGCACATGTGTGGCCCGTTCTTTGCTATGCAGACTAGAAATCCCTCCTATTGTTTGATCAGTCACAGACAGTCGAACAAATTTCTTCCACTTCCCCTGCCATGCATTTGTATACAGGCTAGTAAAAACAGTCTAATTGCATTCGTGTAGACACTGTGACTAGTCAAATTCCATCAACAGACAAAAGAGGTAACTGGTAATAAAGCTGGCATATCAATCACCTCCAGTCAAAGCATGGCTTTATCAGATGAACAAGGGAATTCTTTACAGTTAAAAACCATCACTTGATTGATTTTGACTGCTGCGATGGCGTAGCTGAATTTTGCCAGCCAGAGAGGGAGTGCTTTTATTAAATCACAATTATTTTGATTTTCTTTTCTTACAGGCAATGCGGTTTCCTCCCAAGTCATACAACAAAGATTTGGAATCAGCGGAGGTATGTTAAATGTACTGCCAATATCTTTCATTTCAAAATTACATGTAACAAATTTGAGGTTAGAAGAATCGTATTTATTTAAAAGGAGGACAAAATTGTTCTTAACTAACAGATATTTTAATATCTGATTAAGAATTTTGATTAAAGACAGTCAGGACTGTTAAAAGAAGATTTGGAAAAGAGAGAACCTTCAATATTTGATCAAATATTTTGATAAATTGAAAAGAAAATTCTTACACAGATTTTTACGATGGGTCTGCCCTTTTTTTTCTCTCAAAAAAATTGAGCATAATTATTTTTTATCCAGATCTAAATATCTAATTTGGCATGAACTTGTATCAATGTGACTGAATGACAGCCAGTTGCAACACTCCAAAGGAATCTGAATGTTTCCTTCGCTTTCAGTGTCGTAACAAAACTGTAATCGAGATCAGCCTTAAGATTATCTGGTCAATTTTGTTGCAATTATCTTGCCTGCAGAGTAACCTTTAAATGCTGAGTTTTCTTCAATTTTTTCAGGAACGTCGAGAAAGAGAACAGCAAGACCTGGAACTTGCCAAAGAAATGGCAGACGAAGACGAAGATGCCTTCTAGACAGGTCATCCTAACCACCCCTTCTCTCGTCCAATAGTCCCCTCCCCTCTCTCTATTGTAAAAAAAAAAGTAAATAAATAACACAGGTGCACACAGATGGCTAAACACAGGTGTTTTATCAGTGTCAAAACTCTCAGACCCGTCTCAGACTGGCTTCTAGACTCAAACTGAACTAATTTATTCCATGATTTGAATTAAAGGCATATAGGATCATTTGTATTTATCCCTTAAGTAACCTACCGAATTATCATCCAAAAGCTTACTCGGGTTAACCCTAACAGAACTCAACCTGTCAAACTCCAACGGCATGTTGTGTTGGAATCTGTCAGGATGGGTACAGTACCCCTAATCTGACAGTCTTTTACATTTGGTTGGCACACCTCCAGATTCAAAGTCAGAAATACGTGTTTGCAGTTTCCCATATGGTGTTGGAATTTGCCAGGATGGGTATCGTTCCTAGTAAATCATGCTAGGGAGTTACGGTTAAAGTTTGTACTGGTACTAAACACCCCGTGAAATTATTCCGTCTGGCGTGGTGTCATTTAGAAGAAATCAAGAAATGTAGGTGATTTCCAACGATCAGTCAGTTGACTGATTTTTGGGATAAAGAGTGTTTTTGTTGAAAATGTGTTTTGTGACCAAAAGGTTGGCATGGCTTTTCACTGTTCTGGCGAAAAGTTTAATATCCACTGAGCTGAAATGTCAACAGGTTAGGTTTTGAACAGTCGTCTTTGGATTTTCAGTGGCGTTATTTATTGGAAACGAACAGAATGCATGAAAGAGAAAGATCCTGTATGCCTTTAAGTACATGAGAGGTTTTGACATATGAATCAGTTAGGAGTGACTACTTTGACAAAAAATGCGATTGTCGTCGTTCTTAACGACTCCACAAAATCTAGTCAATGCAAAAAGTCAACATCTGTTTGGGTCAACTAGAGTTACTCCTACAACATGTACTATTTTGTTCGAAACGACTCTTGAATGCCAGTCTGAAAAGGTTGTCCGACCAGCGTTTATCTCCTCCAGTAATGTCATAAACAGCCATTTCAAAATTGACACTCTAAATTCAAAATTCTCAGTTTGATATGAAGACGTCTTTGGATTCTGGCAATCTGATCATTGTATATAAAATTTTCATTTTTCTGGAGTGTCAAAAGATATTGCATCCTTGATGCTCCGGAAAAATGAGATTTTACACTTTGGTTTTAGCTGGTGGATTTGATTCAAAACAGTGAAAGATATTTGAATGAGATGTACCGGTACGTCACACGATGAATTCTGTGGGCTACATTGCAAAATCTTCACGTTGGTACTATACTATGGATCGTTTCATTATTAGAGCAGTGCCTACAACTTAAATATTGTTTATTTTGCACGTGTACCTCCGAGGCTATTTATCCTATTGCTTTTTGAGCTCATCTTTGTGTTCAGCTTCTCTTCTGGAAGGGTTTAAAAGCTTTTAACCAGTTTGTGCCGGATAACGGCATTTTGTGGCATTTGGAATGGATGACGGATAAACACGCAACAAGCGAGGCCGGAAATATCTGTCAGCAACCCGCTCGCAGCGAGCGAGGCCAGAAATATCAGGTGTGCTACCCGCAGATGACGGCCTGAACCCGTCTGGCATCGAGGTTCGTGAAAAACAATCTCGCCCCTGGGTTCGATCAATGTCAAAATCATCCCGGCGCGAACTGGTTAAGACCCTTAAAGCAAATCCTCAAAACACAATCAAGGTTTTGGGATTTTTTTTTAAGATGGAAAGGGTTACGCTTCGAGAACAAAACTGTGTGCGTTGCAGCGTTCACGCCTGTAGAAAGGTCCGGACCAACACTTGGCATTGGAGTCTTAGGTGCTTCATTCTCTGGATTCTGCCTTTAAATGACCCAGTGATTATTTTGAAATGCCAATTTTTTTCTCTGAATTCAACTAAAAAACACAAATCTCACTGTTGATTCAGTGACTGGATTTTAAAAAAAGAAAGAAATTCATCTGGCTGATTACATTTCATTAGACAATTCGTACATTGTGGTTATTACAAACACCTGTATTTCTTTCGCACCTTTTGTAATTATGTTTTATTAAATAACTCGGGAAAAACAAAACAAGATTAGGGTCCAGTAGCAGGGAAAGGTCAGGAAATCAGTGGTTTTGTGGTTTTGTTTTTGACCATTTTAATATGCATGAAATAGCAGCCTTTGTGACACTACTTCTGCATAAAATGTGGTTGTATTGTGTTACACAAGGAACAAAATATTTTACAACTTTGAACACATTCAATAGAATGCAAGCATAGTCTGCTCAAGAAAAGTCTGGCATCCTGAAGCTACCCTGCCAAATTCAGAGCATAGAATTCTTTAGAAAGTCTTGCTGAGCAAAAATATTTTAACAGCCGAAATGGCATGTGTGTTGCTCATGTCTGAATCTAAGTTTCTTTTTATTGCAAATGCCAAGCAAATTGTGTATTTTCTGCTTACAGCAGCCACCAGAAATTCCACTGAATTGACTATCTGACTATTGAGCTAACAGGGGGTGGAAAATAAACAGAAGCTTTTGTTCCGAGTATAATTTATGTAGGGTATTTATGCAGGTCTTATACAATGGAACTTTTCGCCAGTCTTCTGTCCTGGATGCTAAATTTCAAATGGTTACTTATATTTCAAGTTAACTATTATCTCTGGCTTGTACAAAAAAGTTGTGTAAAAAGTTATACAATTAAATTTAAAGTCTGTCAATGAACACACACAAATAATCTTATACATTACTTTTGTTGTACTGTCAGGCAAATTATGCACACTGCATCAGAACTGTCGGAATTGAATGCCGTTTTGTCCAGGGATAAAACTGGAGTTTACTGGATATCTTGTTTGTATGAATGTAACTCTCTAATAAGAAAAAATAAAAAACTTCAAGAGTATTGTTGTTTGTAAAAAAAAAAATGCGTTGGTCTCAAGTTTATTTGCTTGGTGCTCTGGTTTTTGTTTTTTATTAAAAAATCGCCGTCATGATGAAAACATTTTACAATACAGACATTTAGACGGATTTTGTCATTTAAAGTATAAGCCAAGGCCCACACTTGTTTTCCTTATGATGTTACCACAACCAGCAAAACATTTTGCTTTCACTAATTAAACTGGTTTCCAAAAAGGAAAAAAAAACCCAAAACCCAGGAAAGTCTAGATATAACACTATGTGCTAGAAATACCCTGACAAATCACTAAAATTAGCCATATGATCGTGAAGATTTTGTTGCAATACTGAGGGTTTTTTTTAATAAGAAGCTGCTGAGTGCAAAGTGTTTTTACTCGGAAAATCCTTTATTTTTTTTCAAATTTGCTCTCCCTCCGCATACGGCCTAAAACTGTGTGTGTGTGTGTGTGGGGGGGGGGGGGGGGGGGGGGCTTGGGGGGGGCGGGGGGGGCAACAATTTGGAAGTAAAAGGGGTGCATAATTTCAATGTTTCGGAAAGTTGAGGATATGAAAGGATTTAAAACACGAACGGACTGGCGCTTCGGTAATGTGGCGTGAAAAAAAATGTGTCTTGAAAAACCGGGAATGATTTTATGCTTGATAGCGCCCTCATAAGTCCGCCTGCCCTTCAGTTACTTTTCTTCCAAAGTTTTGAACAATAGTGTTGTATATATTTCAAGAGGGTATGAGATGTCCCCTTTAGGTTTTAGGTTTAATTCATGCACCCCTGTGGCAAGGGCGGATCCAGAACACAATTTTTGGGGGGGGGGGGGCAAACAAAAAAATTTGTGTCTCCCAAAAAGTGGGTCAAAAAATTACGGCGTGGGGTTCGGGGCCCGCTTAAGGGCCCCAATTTTTTTTTGGATTCTCGATGCTCTGTGGTGCGATCTGAGGCAATTTCTGACCACTTTAGCCAATGTGTTTGTAGGAAAAGATGGTGGTGTACTCATTGCCTGCCTTTATTGCGACGTCACATAAAATAAAAAAAAAATATGTTTCGTGTTTTTTTTTTTTGGGGGGGGGGGGTCCGCCCTTGCCCTGTGGCGTAGCCACGGGGGGGGGGGGGGGGGGGGGGGGGGGGGGCGACACTGAGATTTTGAGTTTCTAAAAAAATTATCATTGATCTACATGACACCCCCCATGAAATGTTCCAGCCCCCCCCCCTTCCCCCAACCAGTGGCGTCGCCAAGGGGGGGCCAGGGGGGGGGGGGGGGCACGTGCCCCCCCTGGAAAACCTAGTGCCCCCCCCCCCCCCGAGTGCCCCCCCATCTGAGATTTGGGTTGGTAAAAAAAAATTCTGCGCGTTGTTAAAATCATTACCTCGAAAATAGCAATTTCTGGAGATATCTTCAGATCGAATTTAGCATCAAATGTGGCACCATTTTGCATCTAGCCCATCCTCCGTATGCGAAAATTTTCCAAAGGGGAGGGGGGCACCCCCTCCCCTTAGACCCCTCCCCCAGGACGGCGATCCGTATCCACCTAAGTGCCCCCCCCCCCATCAAATGCTGGTGCCCCCCCTGTGCCCCCCCAGACTGAAAAGTCTGGTGACGCCACTGCCCCCAACTGAAAAATTCCTGGCTACGCCACTGATGCACCCTTTTAATTTTCTACGAAGTAAAGATGGGCGTGTCTTTCAGACAAGTGTCACGTGTATGACGTGCACGTTTTCGATTCCCAAACCCAATCAGGAAGTGAAATGTTGAGGGTGGGGTCACTGCACAGAACGATTTCCGCTGGTTCCCATACCATTTTAGTCAAGAGGCAATAGAGCGTGAGTACCAGTGATCTGAACTTATAATCGCGGTACCCCGTTGAACCTTTTTAGCAAACCTGGTCTTCGTGTTCTGTTTGGCTTCACGAGATTTCAGTTCCCCTCTATAGGAACTCCAGCTAAATATAAGTCAATTGTTTGCTTTTAGGACATTACATTTTATAATCTTTTGCCAATTTGTTCATTATATTTATCTTGTATGAGACATAAAAGGATTACAAGTGATTGTAAAGCATGATTAGAAGCCGAAGTGAAAACAAAGCCAAGGGTTGAAAAACCTGACGAGTGCAAGAGGGCGCTTGTATGATGGCCCCGAAAGGATAGTGTGATTTAAAAACAATAATGATTAGCAACTCTACAATCAACTTCAGAACCCATTATTTACAACAAATATTATTTTTAATAGTTACCGATTGACAAAAGTTTTAATTTAATATTCATACAATTTTTTTTAAAGGCTAAGCATGAAAAGCGATCACGTTTTTAAGTTTAACTCCGCAATCCCTTTGGCATTTAGTGGCCATCATAAGCTGCTACACAAATTGTGTGCAGTTTCTGCGCCATCGGTAGTGATTTACGTTTTGCTTGGAAATTGCTCAGTTTTGCCAACTTTCTTGGATTCAGGAGCGAAACAAGGGGCAGACCAGCAAGATGAATGCACCTTGTGCAAGATGCAAGAAGACGGTTTATCCGGTGGAAAAGCTTTCATGTCTGGACAAGGTAAAACGTCCATGGAATTGGACGAACATGACGAACACAATGACGAATGGAAAGTTGTGTACAAAAATGTTGGGAGTGTCTAGTTGCACTTGCAGTTGCACTAGTTAGTAGTTGCAGTTCCCGAACCGAACGTGGATTTGTTTTGTCCGACTTAATTCATGGAGGAAATCTGTTTTCCCAACTTCATGTTTTAATCAAGGGAAAAAATGTTGCAACCTGATGGCAAGATGAGAGGTGTAATTCAACCGGATTAGGGAAATTTGGTTCACTTTAATTATTTTAAAATAGGGGGCGGGGGGGGGGGGGGGGGGGGGGGGCAGGGGGAAGAAACTCAAAACTCCAAATGGATAACATAACAGCACTTACTTACCTTTATTTCAGAACTTACCTGGTCAGTATTGATGGTCACGATGTATGACCTTGTGAATGAGCGGTCACTGTGTGGGAGAATTGGACTACATGTGATGTGGCAGTTTTTGAGTGGGCCAACGCCTAGGGCGTGTTATTGTTTTGTTTTTAATGGACAGGTTTTTTCCCACCACTTTTTACATTTATTTACATCTTAAAGATAAATATTTCTAGGGAAAATAAGAATTAAACCCCTAAATTACACAAATCAACCCTTAATTAAAATCTCAAAGTGAATCTCAAAGCCCGATCGAATTCACCGCCCGCACCCCAACGCGCCAGGCTAATACAATCAGCGCGGTGATCGAAAACTGCTGCAGCAGCGCCCTCTGTTGGTCAGAATTTGATCACCCCTATATCAGCCCTGCCCACTAAAGGTTGTCGGCCAATCGTGCATTGACCTGATGACCTAACCCACAATGACTGACAGGTTGGCTTGATTTGATGTCATCACCCCTGTAAAGTCTCAAAGAGTGCCACCAATGGCCGCTGCCCCACGCAACAGATTACGCAACTTCAATTTTGGACTGAATTACAAAGATTTCACGGAGATGTTCTGACTTCTCGACAATGGACAATCAAGGGCAGGAACTGAACATCATGTGTACAGTTTATTATGTAAACATGATACCTCGGGCGCATTTTATTTAGCAATTAGTAACGGGCGGTTGAATCCCCCCCCCCCCCCCCCCCCCCCCGGTCGAATATACCCCACACTTACCCTAAGATCATTCACTGCAAAAATGATGATAAGACATGAATCTGGAACTGAAAAACATTTCCAATTTTGTTCAGAAATACTTCTTGACTCTCCATAACGCTACACTTTGTACTGTTACAATCGCAGAAGTGGCGTCAGGTTGCAACATTTTTTTCCGAAGTGTACTTTGGTTAAGAAGGTTATCGTTGCCTTTCACTAAAACAGTGCACAAAACTCAATATGCCTAGTACTTTAGTAGTAGAACACGTAGTACTAGTAATTATTAAATTAAGAAACCCATACATCTGCCAAAATGAGGATGATGGATGTTTGGAGTTTGTAGAATCTGGGAGAGTTTGGGTAATGAATGTACAGGTATATATATACGGAACTTTGGAAATGCAATAATGCCTAGGTCTGTGTTTGTTGGTAGACATGGCACAAAGGCTGTTTCACATGTGAAACCTGCAACATAAAGCTGACAATGAAGACGTACAAAGGCTACAACAAACTACCGTACTGCAATACGTGAGTATTGATCCTGTAGTAAAAGATGGAGAGCTTGTATGTGTAGAAACCTGATAAACAAATTTCCGTTTTACTGTCTAAATTTTTTTTTTTAAATGACCGCAAAGGGAAATTGACTAGGTGAAAGTTGAACAAAGAAATTGACGGGAGCAGGGTTTGAACCTGCAACCTTCGGATTACCGTTTCGGTGTTCTACCGACTGAACTATCCAGCCCTGTGTTGGCGGTTCCCCAAATCGTCAATATCTTTGTTTCAAGGGACGCTAGTCAGAAGCCACAAACCCGCCATGCAGCCAGGGATCAAGCCCAAGGTCACGATGCAGACCTGGGAATTAGCAAACGGGGATCACTCAGAGAGGATCCCTAAAGATATTGACAGTTTGGGGGACCCCCAACATATAGCTGGATACCTCTGTTGGTAGAGCACTGGAACGGTAATCCGGAGGTCGCAGGTTCAAACCCCGCTCCAGTCAATGTCTTGTTCAACTTTTCTAAAATAGATTTTGTGGGAAGAACTGTTTGGGTTCAGTGCACAAGTACCCCCTCAACGGTAAGAAAGGGAGAGTTTTGAGTGACATTTGAACGCAGTGCCGATGACGCCTGACGCTTACGCGAAGACGCCATGACTTTGTACACATTCAGAACTAAGTCGTGCGTACTTGGCGCTACACGTGTGCGAACCAGTACGAAAAAACCCCCCACACAGTTATAAGGATAGACATTGTAATTTCTTTGACAATTAACCCTGCTATGCCCAGTGCAGTTGGCAGAGAATTATCAGACCTTTCAAAACATTTTAAATTTGCCTGACTAAAAGGGTTTTGAAAGGTGAAATAGTGCTGGAACTTTGAAACTTTTCGAAAGGTTTCGGAAGGTGAAGCAACTCTTTGGGCAAATTCAGTAAGTTGCCTTTCAATACCTTTCGAAAGGAATTGAAAGGTGTGGTAGTGCAGTAACAATAAATTCTGGAGGGTTTTAAAAGGTCCTGCATTTTTTGTCCTCCAATTTGCCAGAACCCAGATTTTGAGGTGTTTTGAATGGTCTAACTACAGGAGTTAATTCACAAATAATTAATTTCTTACTACCATTCTTACCCTGTATATACCTTGTAAACTGATTGACTTTTGTGTCCGTTGCACAGGCATTACCCGACTACACGTTTCACGGCAGTTGCAGACACCCCGGAAAATAAACGTCTTGCTAAGCAGACAGCCAATCAGAGCAATGTAAGCTATCTGTTTAAGTTAACCTTGCTTTGGCTGAGCTTTGGCTAGTCTATGGAATATGGCCGTGCACCGCATGGGTCTATGATATGGGAGCAGATTCGGCAATCAAAATATGCAAAATAAGACTGCGTCTTGACCTTGAGATTCTGACCATTCAGCGGGCGCCTTCTATCAGGTCTTCGGAAACCTGTTGTGGTATTACAAAAACATGGCATCCAAATTTGACCGCCAGCTTTGTCCACATTTCTGATCGTCTTTTATTTTAGGGGCAGATTTGGGACATCATTTGTATTAAGATTTGGTTTAGGTTTGGTTTAATTGGCATTCACACACAAGTACAAAGAAAAGGGAAAACACAATACAAATAGCCACATTTGAACTTTTAAGAAAAAGAACAAAACAAAATAGAGTGCCATTACAGTGTACTACACAAAAACCAGGGCACAAAAGAAGCCTGGTGCCTGGATAGCAGGCTGAAGGCTTATTTCCAGTGGGGTCCGACAGTAGGAACCATGGGATACGTATATATCTCTCGAGTATGGGATACGTACATGTATGTCTCTCGTAAAAATTGCTTGTTAAATTTGCCTTCCACCTCAATATGTGAAGATACGTGTATACATGTACACTCGGGTTTGGTGAAATAACAACACAAAATGGTGATATAACCAGCTAGTTTTTTTTCCGTATCCTTACCCCCACCATTTGGTAATCGTCGCTAGTAGTTTAAAGGTTTAACAGAATGCACGGCCTGACAAGATTCATCATCAATATTATGTAAAGCGCAAAAAGGTGTGTGTGTACATGTATGTGTGTGTGTGTTCAAGAGTTGTTTACGAGTTGATCGTGCACAAAATGATCACCAACAAATCAGGCGTTCGCTGGCGAAGCGCTCACTCGCCAGCGAAGCGGGCATTTGCCGGCGAAGCGGGCATTCGCCGACGAATGCCCAGGTTCATCATGAAATAAATGCAGTGTAGTGCACGTGATAATGAGTTCATTCTTATCAAGCTGTTTTATATATATATAAATATTTTTTATTATTATGATTATTATTATTATTTTTTAATGAACTCTGACCACTTGACGGGAGTAGCTGGTGTACCACAAGGATCATGTGGAAAGTCTGTCCAAGTTCTCTCAAGTTGCGGACACGCCTGCCATGGAGACTTCCAAACGGAACCAGATGAACGCCAGCCAAATCAATTATGCCGCCAAGGCCCCGACTGCAATTCCGCAGCAGCCGCCCCCAGGGTCTCAATGTAAGTAGAACGCTAAGATCATTTCTGAGCCCTCCCCCCCCCAAACAAAATAATAACAATAATACTAATACCAATGTGGTTTTTGTGTGCTGACTGCTAGTGGCTAGCGGTTGGGTAAAATGGGCGGATTGTGGGCTGGACTTCAAATTTGTTGGTTTGAAGCCTGTCACAGGTCGTGTTAATTGGGCACGAAAGATGTCGGATTGCCACAGTTGCAGATAAAGGCAGTTTTAAATAGGTAGTTGTGATTTACCGACTGTGTATCTTTCACAACGTATGTGGTTTTCAGTTATTTCCTTAAGAAATGGTGTTTAGTTATCAGAAGGAGACACCTTATGATGGTTTTGATTACATATGAAGCTCAATAATATTTACTTTTGAGTTCAATTTGTGATGATTGGAGAGTTGATTCTGTTTTCATATTATTTGTTGTTATTTTGTCTTTGGTTAAACAATTTTAAGATAATTGTAATGCAGCCAATGACCGTACAGGATTGATGAGGATGACTTATTTCGGGCGAAGGGGGTGAAAGGACTAAACTTTTGACCACTTTTGTGATTAGACTCGTTGAGATTTTTTTTTTTTTCAGTTTTAAAGTTTTCCTGAAATACATTACAGTTTCCTGAAAGGAAACCTGAAAATCTACTGGTGCGTTGTCGTGTCTGTTACGGACAATACTGACTGTGTCACTTGTTAACACTGTGAACTTTGAACTTCAGGGTGTGATCTATTGCGTGACATTTCTAAACACAGCACATCCTGAAGATATCTTTAGATATTGAAATCTATTTATTCATATATGAACAGTTGTCAGTGTTGGCATAATCTGTGTTGAACACAGATCCAAAAAAAAGAGAAGAAACTTGACAGATTCGTTTTGGGCATGCTCAACCTACATCAAGGAATGCTTGACAGGTTCCTTGCGAAATCTGTGTGGCGACGCACACAAAGTAACGACAAAATCTTTCTGGAAATAAAATAAATTGCTTCTGATTATGTTACGAATTCCTGTACATGCTGATGCGGCACACATACATACATGTACACACACTGATACTTTTGTCTTTTTGCGAGGCCCAGTTTGTAATTTCCTGTTCCGGATGAGAAGACAAAAACTCATGAATTGTGCATTTCCTTCCTTGGTTGACACATCCATAAACCCTTGTCTCATGTGGGTGGCTGAGAATTGTGATCCCCCCGCCCCCGCCCTTGCCCCCGCCACGGTGCCCTACAACAGAACCACAGGCCTTGACACATGTTGATGAATTCATTCACAATGTATCTCCACAATTCGTAGCATTGGACCACAAATGTACACTGAAACCTTTTCCTTGGCTTTATATTATGTAAACTGTACAGTTGTTTCCTTGTGTGCATTTTCAGTTGTGAAATAAATTTGGGATCCACTTTTTCCTCCTGTCCCTGTTAGTACATCTAACGTCTATTATTTTATAATTCTGACGCACTTCTTCATGCAGTCTTCTTTCAAGAGAGATTATGACCAGCAAACTACCTGCCCAACAAATCAAAAATCATTTGAAGTCATTCAATTACAAAGTGCCATGGTAACAACGTCACACTTTGGACCCTACAATTATAGGGTGCGTTTGAGTAGCTCACCCGGATCGACTCGGGTAAAGGCAGACGGGTTAGCCACGACAGCCGGGCTAATCGAACGCTCAACTGTGGGCCATCACATTCCTCACGTGATGTACGTAGCTGCAGCCGTAGCCACTGACAAAACGCCCGTTTCGGACTGGGTCTTAGGTTGAGATTTACTGGTTTTCAGTCAGTTGCAAAGCTCAAAAATGTTGGGCTGGAATTATAGCCTCAAAAGTCGCAATGAACTCAAGAAATGATTACCTTTAGACTTCAAATAATGTTAATTTTTAAGTTCTCTCGATATTTCCGCTGTCCGGCCGCCACATTTTTCCGTTTCTGAAATAAACAACGCATGCGTGTGACGTATTTCCACCACTGACTCTGCTCCACTAGCAGGGTCTGTGGTGGCTGACCCGGGTGAGCCCCGAGAATGACGTCGGAGCTAATCGAACGGCACGAGGCTGATCCGTGTCGACCCGGGTGAGCTAAACGAACGCACCCATAGTATGACCCATTTATGACAGTTTGCATCAACACGTTCATGTAGCCTACAGATCTTATGAGACCGAGAAGAACCATAACCATCAAAGATATATATTGAATAATCGATGTGAATTGAATCGGGGAAAAAAACCCTCAATATTTATTATTACCTTTATTATCATTTTTAGTATTATTATTATTTTTATTTTTGATGACCACTTATAAAGTTTGATTGAAATCTTGGTTTTGCATGATTTTTAAAGATTTAGTACAAGTCCTATACACTATGTCCTCAAAATCAGTGCTGTGTATGTAAGCTGTGTAAAATCCTGCATGTTTTGAAAAGGGCTGCGGTTGGGATTGGAATCATTTGCCTGGCTATCAGTCATCATGGCAAGACCTCAGTTTAATGCTCAAGGGCAAATGATTCCAATCCCAAACTACATTCAGCCTTTTTTTTCACAACATATAGGATTTTACACAGCTTATACAAATGTATAACACAGCACTCAAATTCATTAAGGCAAGGAACTTGGTCACAGTGTCCAAAAATGTTGTAGCGATCAATTGACTATTGTGTGCAGTGATGCGTGACTGAAATTAAATGAAACTCATAGGGGTTGAGGCCAAGGCTTAGGAGTATCTGCACAATCAAACATTTTCAAAATTGACCTCATGGTTTTGTAGTTATTTTAAAAATAGTCAGACGGACACTTTTTTGGAGACATACATATTTGTAGAGCACATTATTGCTACGTGAGGAATAGTGTCCCATGTTGGTTTAATTTGTAAATTGTAAATCAGTCAGAACGTATTATTTATTTGATAACTTACATGCAATGAAAGGTCTTTGATATTTTACATGTAAAACCTTTTGTTTTTTGGCTAATTCCTTGAGAAAGTGTTACTTACATGTAATCCCTCTTTAATAACCCCCAACCGTTTCCTGCTGTAGTGAGTATTAGAGATTTATAAACAATTCATGGTCTTAATTATAATGTACATGTACATGTATATTCCATGTATGCACATATACCGGTACTTGTTCATATAAGGGTGGTATTTACATACATGTACTTAGTTTTCATACGTGCCAATTGAAATGAAAACTTTCTACATACACGAATACATAAACTGTTTAGTTTTGTCTAGATATTTATAGTAGTATATTTTTATTTCCAGGAATGTTTGTACAACCATGAGCAATACAAGTATTTTCCCTATGCCTATTATCTTACATGTATACATGTATATTCACAGTTCTGAAATCCATTCAGGCAATGTTTAAGAATTATAGGAATGAGTTTAGTGTTCAGCACTGCATGATGTCAATTTAAGCTACTTGCAGATCCGTTTGCGTGGCTTTTTTTCGGCACTTACAGGCATCCAAGACACACTGCATGTTCTATATTTTGGTTTTCATTTGGCTTCTACTTTGCCCAGACGTTTTCCCTGAGTCCCAATTGTTTTCTCTCGTATTGAGTATAAGATCCAGTCCGACTCATTCAAGTTGTATCCTGAGTGACCTGAGTTTGAGTCTTAATTATTGGACACTCCCCCAATCCGTGGGTGGCTTACGTTCTCATGATTTGTTCACTATTTGTTGATGGTGGCTGATGAGAGTATGATTTGCACTCCCGTTTGCATGTTGCATTAACCGTACTCTGCATTGTCTCTGACTGTATATTTCCTTCTTTAGACGAAATGGACCCAGTGGACTACAACCCAGAAAGCGAATTGGAGACAGGTTAGAACAAACAAACAAACAAACACCCCAACAAACCAACCAACGGGAACCATTTCTCATCACTAATACTTCACTTAACTCACTTTTAGCTTTTTCTGTTTCTTCTTATTTCCAGATTGGCTCACGAATCGAATAATATTTTTTGTTTTGCATTTCCACATTTTTCATCTGACACACAGATCGATAATATCTAAAACTGAATTCCATTCTTTGCGGTACTCTTCCTGAAAACATTTTTTCTTGTGTTTTCAAAGCCTTTTTTTCTTAAATGGGTTACCTTTTCTTCATGTTGTCTTGTTCAAATCTTGCTTAAAAAAAAACAATCTTGCAAAATAAAATTATTTCTCTAGGAATGCAAAGTATGCAGATTTATTTATTGCAAGTCTGTGTTTGTCTACGGACCGGACAAAATACAAAGTACAAATTTCTACTCATGGAATCTTAAGCATAATTGTTTTGTCAGACAGAGACGCAAGATAGATTTATCATATGGATTTCTTGTCGGCTTTTCTTATCTGGACTGCACCCTTTTCCGCTGAAAATGATTGAAATAATATCTGTTTTAAAACTGGGATCATGGGAAAACAGTTTGCTGTGCGCATTTCACTTTCGTTGTAGATTATTTGAACGTTTCTTTTATTAGCTCAAGCAAAAAAAAAAAAAGCCAATGTAAAAATAGCACAGTTTCTTTGATAATGCTTCAACGCATTCTTGTGAATTTAATTTTTCACGCTGCAGTCTGCAGTACAGTACTGTACGTGAACGTGCACATACCAATTTCTTTCTGCTCATTTCAATAGTCGGGGTCAAAGGTCTTGGCAATAAAAGGGCTTTCTGTTGAATCACGCACCTGGAAAATGAACTCGGAACCATAGACATTTCCAGGCATTGATACATGCGTTTCAAAGCAATTTTTTTTCTTTACCATTTATTTGTTATTGTTGCTTTGTTGAACAAGTACATGTACGTGTATAATTTTATGAAGTATGTTTGCCATATCATTATTTCATCGTTCTTCTAATCCAGTTTAGATGTAATTATTTTCCCATTTGTTCCATGACATTCTTACTAAACACGGCAGACATACATGCACATGCGCCACAACAATTTAAAAATGGTGTTCATTCTACTTTGACATTCGTTTCTGTCGACACACTCAGCAGTTTTTTGTCGATTGCGATTTTCTTTTCACATCTAATTTTTGAATACTGCAGTAGTTTTTCCTGATATTCCGATGCAAGAAAAGGGAACAAAAAATCAGAATAAAAATTAACCTTTTTTTTAGAAACACAACAGATGGGCGCTTTTTGGAATGGGTTAAAATTGGGTAAATACAAAAGGGTTCACGCAATCCAAATAGTGCCCTCATATTGTCTTCGCCATATCTCAAAATTAAAAAGGCTAATTGTTTTCAAACATACTTCAAAAAAGGACAGCTTAAAACTGAGTACTCAACTGTGTTTTGTTTTACTCGTACTCATCAAAACTACTTGTACTTGTACTAGTGGAAACATTGATTTGTACTTGTTCACATACGTACTTATACTCGGGGCAAAGTACTTGTCCTCGTACTCATGACAAAATACTCGTACTTGCGCTCATCGCTCATGGAACTCGACTGCAACACATGGTTTGACACCATCAATTTGTTTTTGGTATCTTTGGCAGATTTCATGGAGAAATGTAGACTTACAGTGTATTTTTGTACGAGCTCTTATGTTTTCTCCTTTGCAGTTTATTTCACAGTAAATAATTTGCAACCTTTTTTTTTATCAATTTATATTTTTAAAATCGCGTTGGCACAGCACTTGGTTCTGTATGGAGGGGAGCAGGTAGGTAATAGTGTAAGGTATTGCTCATGCATTGTCAAAACGTGCAGTGCTGGTGACGTAGTACTACATGCATGCTGAAGTTTGTTTGAAATGTGAAGTTCTGATTTGGTATTGGAAATAATTGTCTGAAATCATGGTAGTATTTGCAATTATTGTACTATTTAGTTGATCGCAAAAAAGTTGAACCCTCCCCCCCCCAAAAAAATAGACAAATTGTTATAGTGTTAGACTTTCAAATATAAGTTGCATATAAGTAATATGTTTTGTTTTGTTTTGTTTTGTTTTGTTTCCCATAAGAATATTCTTGTACCCCATAAGAATATTCTTGTACGAAATGTATACAAACATGCTCATAGTCATATGTACATTTTTGCATGTCATGTTGAAGACGTAGAGGATGATACATGTGTATTCTGTTGACAATATGTTGGGCTTTAATACAAAGCAAAGGTAAATTTCAAATTACCGGTACAAGATGTTGCTAAAGGATTATGCTTACAAAAAAATGTATATTTATCAGTGGTGCACCCAGGATTTGGTTTTTTTTGGGGGGGGGGGCTCAAAAAATATTTTTTTACAAATTTGTTAAAAGTTGATTTTTTTTCAAAAAATGTTGGCCCAAATTTTTTGCCGCAGAAAAAAAATTTGTTTTTTTTGAGGGGCGGCCTATTTTGTCGTTGGTGGCGCCACTTACACCCCATTATACTACTCGAAAACAGGCCACATTCATATCACCAAGGCCAAATCGTGGGACTAAAAAAAAAATAAAAAAAAATTGACAACCTCTTGGGGGGGGGGGGCTCAAGCCCCCTCCCCCTCCCCCCCTTCCCCTCGTGCGCCACTGATATTTACACGCTAGTGTTGTTTCTTATCTTTGATCATACACTTCATATGATGTACAACACCTGAGCTGCAATCTTAGACTCTGCATGCATATTGTAGGTGTATGTTCATGTTAGTGAAATTCATCTGTGCGTTTGGTGTGCATGATTGTGCATGCATGGGTGGATTTTTTTTTTTTTTTTAACGGTATCTTTCTTGCCTTCCACAGCAGTGGTCTATTTACAATGTATATGTAGGAATCATTATCACTTGGTGCAGCATTACTTTATGGTTCATCCAGTTTGGTTTCCAGACAAACGCAGGAAGCACGATCATTCCAAAACAGAAATTGGCAAAAGTTAGCTGTTGAGTTGTCACATACAATGCAAAAAATAGTGGAAAATAATGCAATATACATGTATTTCCTGGTTGTTTATGTATGTATTTTCCCCCCACCAAAAAAAACCCCCAGCAGCTCTTAAAATCAAGGTTATTTTTAAAATTTTATTCATACCTACATGTACTTCGATGTTTTATTCATATTTTCATTCAGTACACAAGTCGGCAACCTAATAATTCCTTCGTGCTTGCAATCAGGTCATTATTGTACATGTACCACACCATACCACGGATGTGTGCTTTCCAATATCCGCATTGAGCACTTCCCCTCTCGACCGTGAACAGGAAATCTGCCATTGCATTTTATTGATAATTGAATATACAAAAAAAAATGTATTGAAAGGAACGGAAAGAAAAAAATGCGCAAACACTCCTTGTGGTGAGCTGGACTGATTTAAAATCCCTTGTTGTTGAAATGTACAGTGTATACGTTTGTAGTACACGTACATATCGCGGTAGAATCGCGTCAACGCAGCTTGTGAAATATTGTCCAATTGCATGATATACAAATGGATGCAGAACGCGCAAAATCTGAGACAAATAAAACTTAACGTGCACAATTCCATAGGGTTGTCTAAGGGGCATGGCTAACTTGCAAACGACGATAGGTCAATTTTTCTGTCTTCCTGTAGCCTTTGCAAAAGAAAAGCAGTGTATGGTACTGTTATTCAAGATAAGAGTGTCAACTTTCAAAATTTGTCCAAGATTTTGATTTTTACCGTTGACAGTAGCCATGATTGAAACTTCACATGATTCATGTTAAAGATTGAATGCTAGCCGCCATTGCAGACGTACTCGAGCACTGTTTATGTCCTCACTATCGAAATTCACTTGTTGCATGTGGAACAAAGTGATCGCAGCATCCAATATGTGCTCATACTTGTTTACATACTGATACCTCAGGCCATCAAAATATGGTTGAAACTTGCAAATTGTACAATTGCATCGAGTCTACTGCAGTGAAGCTATTGTACAAATAATGAAAGCTTATGAGTGCAATGTTAAGACTAATTTCATGAGGTGACAGATGGAACGTTCCATTCCACCTGTCACTGAATGACATTATGCACGATTGTGGAACATTCATTATTTGTTTTATACAACACCTCAATAAATTCTCGTCATCTGTTTGGTCAGAGCCAACAGTCGTGCTACCATGCAATGGAGCTTCTATTTAACGTGGAATAGAGCTTCTATTTTCCCTGTGGGGCCGGGCCGTGGTTCGTGACAAATAATTCAATGACATGTGATCAACGACCCGCCAATCAGATGACGGGGATATATTTAGCTGTTGGATAAAAACATATTGTGCACTGCTGTGTAAAATATTCACTCGGTTTGCTACAGTCTGTAAAATATGAAATGGCCCTTCACAAACATTACACAGAATTTGAAAAAAAAAAATAATACTCACAGCGGCGCTTTCATTATCTTGTTGAAGACTTGTTCATCCGTGTGTTCAGATTCAGAAAGCCATGACAGACTAGTACCATTGCCAGCAGTAATGGGCTGGAAAGATTCCCATATCTGGCCATCACTTGTCACCCTGTGCACAAAACCCTATGAGACTGGTCTGAAACTTTCTAAGTATTTTCTCAGTAAATTCAATATTTTCCCTGCTAAATTTGACTTTTTAGGACATACATTATCACTTGCTGATGGCTGATAGGTCACTGAAGGGAAAAATGAGTGATGGCCAGATATGGGAATCTTTCCAATGCCCCTTTCCTTGGATTGTGGGTTACTGCTGATTTGACTCGGCTTGTAATCCTCTCCAGCTTTGGTCATAAAATTCTTGAAAAGTGCCTTACCATAAAGACTGAATATCCTCTAAAACAGCATGAACAGAATAGAAGGGTAACGTTCATTGCAAATCAGTTCTTCTACAAATATATACAAGTGGAAGCCCAATACATGAAAGTTGCAAACATGTACAGTACATACATAACATTTTCGTACATTGAAAATACATTTTTTTCCGTCAATGTTCTCCAATTTGTCAAAAACCTCCAATTTGTCAAAAACCACATGTACTACAAATTGATTTAAAATGAAGTTTTAGGTTCACTTTTGCGCAGAAAGTCTCAGGATATAAACACAATGCACTAGATTGATCTATGTACAATATGTACATTGCTGCATGCATGAAGATGGATTGAGATGTTTGTGTGTACTGTGAATGGTGACTGAATGTGTGTAGCATTGAAATATGCAGAGATCAGCGGGTCAAATACTGTGAGAATGTCAATGTTGATTGTAGGCTGAGCAACAGGAAGGTATAGGAAGAGTCTGTATTATTGCAGGACAATATGAGGTGGATTGTACACATACATGTACTGTACATACCGGTACATTGTACAACAACATGCCTTGGGTTGGTAGCCATAAAATATCAAATTTATTGCCCATGAAATTAGGAGACATACATGTATATTATTACTGCATAAACTACACGTAACACCCCTGAAATCTTGAGAAATGTGCTGGTACACATGGGTGTCGCGAGGGGGGGGGGGGGTCTAGGGGGCACTTGCCCCCCCCCCCTGGAAAAGCAAAAAAAAGAGGGAAAAAAAGGAAGAAAAAAAGAGGCGCGAAGACAAAGTGGTGTAAATTTAATGAGGGGGGGGGGGCAAAATGTCACTGCCCCCCTCTAAAACTGATAAAACGAGAATGTGTTGAGAAATACAAGCATTGTTTGGCAAAATTTATTTTGCTTTTTGCCCCCCTCTAGAAAAAATCCTGGCGACGCCCATGCCGGTACATTACAGTTCTGAAAATGTCAGTTGGTGGTACTGGTGATATAATAAATGACTAGAATTATTATTCAACCTCTTTGACATATTTCTTGTCAGTTAGCCAGCCAACCAGGAACTTTAGATTTCTTGAAACTTGTCGGCTACCTTTTTAAATATAAATGGTGACAAAAAAAATGCTAATAGGTGGGTTGGATACTAAATTTCTCATGCAAATTTTTGGAATAGGTTTAAACATGGGGGTTTGACCATAACTCCTCTTTTTACATAAAGGCTAGTTCTTCGCGCATGTACATGTACTTCACGTGAATGTGAAGCTAAGTTGACATCAGAAAGCATTATTATTAATCATTAAGTACTGGTAATGAAACCAAGGATACCTCAAAAGCGCCCTTGGCACTGTAGCTCGCAAGCCTAAAGAAACCTGTGGAGAGAAGACAATTAGAAGGAATTACAGTTTTAGAGGTAGGAGAAAAACCCAAAATAATATTCTAGGGAAAATCCACGGAATCAGGATAAACCCAAACAGCAAAAACAACTGGTATTCATTAGGGCCCTGCATTAAAATAAACTAATTAATATGAATTTAAAAAAAAACATGAAGACTTAAAAAGCAATGAATTGATATGCTATCATATGCACTGAACTCTGTTATCGCAAATATGCATTCGCTGGTATTATCACAAGTATGAACAAGTGTTAATTAAGGCAGAGTCTCTATATTGATGTACATGTACTTGGGATCAGCTGTATTCTGTGCTTCAGTTCAAGTCCATTAATTCAAGTCACTCATGTTTTATGCATGAATGCCCCTTAAGAAAAATTAGCATAAATTACAGGCTTTACATGTGGTGGTGTTTCTATGCAAATCTTCTTGAGGGCCATTTACTGATATGCAAATGAGGTTCAGGTACATGAACATTATGCATGTACATGCCGTCACTATGCTCGTTAAGACAGTAGTATTTTTGTCTTTGAGGTTATATTTTTAGGTGATGACATGCAGTCAAATACTCCGTGCATTCCACCATGCATGTCTATAAAAACATGTGGCAATAATCAAACGTTCTGATATTTTTATGTATCTCTGTCATTGCAAACAAATTATCGCTTCAAAAATCATTTTAATTCACTCTTAATGGTACTTGAATGGCAAATTACAAAGAACCCAGGTAACAGGGACAGGAAAAAAAGGGCGCACTTTGGACCCTTAATTGACAGAGCGACCCATATTAAAGCTCATAATGATCTTTGTGTTGTATCAGTAGAGTTCAGACATTGCCTTTGATGTCAGAGATAATGACAGACATGACAGATGATTAGCAATTGAAGTAAGTGCAACATTTATACTGTATGTTACACGTTAATGTAATGATGCACATTATTGCAGATACATACATGTACATGTACATGTACACGGCGGTAACAGCTTTATAAATTTTAATGTACAGTTTTACTGTTTTCCTTTTCTGGATTCAAAATGATCACAAAGAGTTAGTTCCCACTTCTAACACTTACACAAAGCTAAAAATAAAAGCTTATAAACAGTGCTTTGAAATATTTTTTTCCAAGCTCGCATTTTGTTTTTCCCTAACATCAACAGACCGAGACCCTGGTCCGTGATGGCATTCAGGTACAATTTGCACTCGGTTGTTTAAGGAACCATGGATGTGCGAAAAGTCCTGTGACTTGAAAATAAAAAAATATTATTTCCTACCACAGTTATTCAGCAGAAATATTTCTCCGCAAAGTACAGCTTCTTCAAACACATTCAATATTTTTTTAATACTTTGTCTTTGACGAGTACATGTACACTGCTCAAAATATTTTTTTTTTTTACATAAGATAAGAAAATTGTTTCAAGAAATATTTTCTTGTCATACTCCCTAAATATAACAAGAAAATAATTCTTGAAAAAGATTTATTTTCTTGTATCAATAAACGTAAGAAAATAATTTTAAGCACTGTAGATCTGACATAATTCCATCAAAGCCGCAAGATTTTTTTTTGCAGATGTAATGCATACTGTAGATACAGTTTGGACTTTTATATTACTTATTCTTTTTTGTTGCCACATTAACCTGTGTATTCAAGGAGCAGGATGGAAATGATTTAAAAAAAAAAAAAGAAGTATTTTTTAAAAGGCCCTTTTAAAAAAATTGAGAAAATTTGCCATGGGATAACTAGAAATATGCGAACTTGCTGTTGGTGAACCTGCAATTGCTAAGGGGAATAATTGAAGGAATGCAAGGAATGGTCCCATATCAATAGGCCAAATTGCTGCCCGCTAAATATGGCGGCCAATTCCGCCTTCCCAGGGTGCCTTTGTCCACGGCCTAATTATTATTCATGACATTTAATAATTGAAGCACTCATGAATTATTCAGCACAGGCAATATTTTGTTGTCATAATAGTCTTGTGCTAAATTGTGGCAAATGGGTGAAAATATAAAACATATAATATAAATGTATTCCAGAGTAGTGTGTATTGTTTTTCATTTTACAAGCTGGACTAGCAGAAATGTTAGTGGTGGGTGATTTCAAAATAAATATTGTAGAACATAAGTCAAGAAACCTAGAATCTTAAATATTGTTGTGGAGCTTTTGGAATCTCAAAAAAATCCAACATCCCCCAAATTCCAGTTGGGACATTATTTGTAACATACATGTAATAGGGGCAAGAGGGTTGGCCTCTCCTGTTCTTATTGTACATATCTACAGTATATTGCATGTATAAATTCAGTGTACAAATGAAATTTGATAGCAAACTTTACTCTATTATATTAAAAGGAGACCTTTACATTTTAGGCAGAGTTGGCGGGCCACGTCGCTAGGATAGGCATGAGTAAGCCTTTTATGCCTTCATTGTTAATCAATTAAAATAACCAAGAATACCCCCTAAGACACCTGCAACGCAGAAGGTCAACAACCAAATGATAATTAAATGAGTAACTGAAGCTGTAGAATTGTCAGCTTTCACGAATTCAGTCACAAATTAGTCATTTTGCGAGGTTGATTCTGAGTTGTCTGAAATTAGGTCTGGCTTTAACTTCCAAATCTCCAGGTCCCATAGCGCCAGAGTCTGTACGACAGTTGTAGGCAGACCGTTTAGTTTCTATAACTGTTAGTCATTTCCATTCCATGCGAGACATTTCCTTAGCCTGCGACCCTGTGTTGGATGAAGCATGACCTGTGATGTCATTCGCCACATGACTGGTGTTTATGATAGGAATGAGTCAGTGGGTATACTCCTATTTCCAAGTGTTAACAAAAATATCAAAGTAAAGCAATGCAAAGTAGAACCACAAAATCAAAGTTTTCTATGGGAAAATGTGACCTTTTCTGCAAAAAAAGGTATTAAGTCGCGCTGCGCTGCTGTGCATTATAATGTAATGGCCCGCTCAACGTTGAGAGGGTGAACATTTCGTCAAAATTTGTTTTTCAATTTATTTGTCATGATAAAGACCTTTTTAATACCTAAATGTTTCAGGGTTCATTCACAGAAAAGTTGTTTTCGATGAATCAAGTTGGAAAAACGACAGTTTTTGGTACATTGTGTCCAAATCTACAACAGTTGTGTAATTTGAACTCCAAGGAAGTAATTAATATATGCAAATACATCATATTTCCAGAACAAGAAGGGTGTTGAGCTCTACTTCATATACCAAATGAAAGCTTGCATTGTAGGCTTTCCAAATCACTTTTTTTTTGCAATTCGTAATACCCTTGTTTGTGGAGCAGGTCACAAATATTAATCCAACACAACCATATAAAAAAAATGTCTTATTGGTTTACAATTAAATTGTATTTTGAATGTTTACAGAAATGTACATGTAGCGTTGTAGATTGAGAGAATGAATGTTTTTGTAGTCTGCAGTGCATCTAATGAACTGCTGTCTTTTCTGATGTTCCTAGTACTTCTCCATTAGTTGATCTAACCCTCTCAGTTCCATTGAAATCTACATGTACCAGATTTTCAAGTACTTTACAGGATTGAGTGTGAGAGGCATGAACACTTCTTACTTGAGGTGATTACTTAGCGTCTGTGTTTGGTCAGTCTCAATTTGAGCACTTTCCCTTTCTTCAAGTCTTATCAGCTGAGGTGGCACTCTCCAACTATATTCCAGGTTTACACATCTTAACATGTACACTAGTGACTGCGGCAAGATTGACCATGCATGTACTGTGCGCATTGTTTCAGCAATATTTGTGAACTGCATTGAACCGTGTTTTGGCTGTTTTGGTTTTCTTGTTATTTTTAGTTCAGTCCGGCGGTTACGAGCCCCCTCAGCACACTCAGCCCCCGCCAGCTGCCCCAGTTGCAGCACCCCCACCACCATCTTCTGTAAGTAGAAATATCCTTTATGGACAAGTTCATCTCCAATAGGGACTGTGAAATCTGGTCCTGGGTCAAGACGTTGTTGTAAGATGCAGGATCACCTGCTCGCATGAGGGCGTGATCGCAACGAATCACTATCACCCACTGACCACTATCACAACATCGCCTTGGGAATCTTGTAAAATCGCCCCCTCAAAAATGGGGGTAACGAGCTATAGTGCGCCTGCGCTACTCCTGCAGGTAAATATGGTCATTTCCGTTGGCACGCATACTACATACGACAAAAGAGCTACCATGAAGTTGCACAAAAGTCTGGTAGCATCTTGCATGCAACTTGTTGAAATTTCGGAGTTTGTTTCGGAGATTATATGCGTGGTGTTGTATGCAATTTATAGGCAAAACAGGTGCGTGCATATGACACGACCGCTACAAGATTCCCAAGACGTTGTTGTGAAAGCGGTTCGCGGGGGATTTCAGTTAGTTTTGTTAACGCCCTCTTTCTGTGGGTTTCTGCGTATTCAGTGTATACAACAACGAGGTCGTGACCCCAGACTAGGTGGAATTACGCCTCAACGCAGGTGGTATGCATGCACTTATACTCCTTCAACCAGTATTCTGTCAGAAACACTATGGCGTCACACTTCGTTCACTTGTTGGCTTTCCTATGGGAGCCAGCTGGGGACGAGAGCCACCAAGCTCCCATAAGAAAACACACATTTAAACAAAGCGTGACATCGTCATGTCTCAAGTCTATTGGGTAATCAAAATGTGCACACCTCAACTTTAAGAACACGTGCCAGTCCACTTGGACTCGTGAAGCAATTTTTTATAACCTTTTTTTTTCTTGAACTGTCATATAGAGTACCCGCATCTGCTGTTTTGCTTGATTCATCACATTATCAGCAGTAGACCATTATCATGTTGCGGCTGTCTTGATTTTTTTTCCCCATTCAAATCAATGTAACCAAAGCGAGGCTGAAAGGAAAAATAGTCTGGTTCCTTTTGCACAACAAAACATTAGTCAGATCCGTTATTGGATTCAGGGAACATGACTGAAATGGTGGCAGCATGATAAAGGACTATAGTCACAATTTATAAGAATGAATTTTTGCGTCGGGGTGATATAAATCAAATTAGGTTTTGCCCTGCACCGACGTTTAAACACTGTATACTCAGTGTGTTACCTCCCGAGTGAAAGTTGGAAAAAATCACTCGGGTGGGACTCGAACCCACGACCTCCTGCTCTCTAGTGCAGATGTCTTACCACTCGACCACCGCGCTAACGGGATCGGTTGGCCGGTTCGAATCTGATGTACATAGCAGCGGGTACCGCGTAAACTATTATAAGAATGAATTTTTGCGTCGGGGTGATATAAATCAAATTAGGTTTTGCCCTGCACCGACGTTTGAACACTGTATACTCAGTGTGTTACCTCCCGAGTGAAAGTCACAATTTACTTCTTTTTTTTGGGCATTTGGCCATTGACAGGGTCCGAAGTACGTGGCTTTGTACGACTACGCAGCAGCTGATGAAGACGAGGTGTCCTTCAACGAAGGTGACAACATCATCGACGTGACCATCATCGATGACGGCTGGATGGAAGGCAGGGTGGAGAGGACGGGACAGTTTGGCATGCTGCCGTCTAACTACGTCGAGATGCCTCGCTAGAAATGCTGGCTGTAGAACGCTGAATGGAGTCTCAAGACCTAGAATAATCCACCTTTTGCAACATAGTGGCCATTAAGAATAGACCGATTCATTAGGCTCCGCCCCTTCACACACGAGAGGAAACAAATTGTGCGCTTCTCCAGTGCCACACTAGCTGCGCGTGTCGTCCAGCATGTGGACGCGTGTTGGACTTTCCTGACCCATGTCGGACATTGATCACCGACTGTGATTGGTTAAAAACACCATGGGGGCGGGGCTTAACGAATCGGTCTGTTGTTGACTGTTGTGATGTCATGCTAGCAGGTTGCCCATTACGTAATTATTACGATATTATTACGCACTCTTTGGGTTTCTCTCTCTCTCTCTCTATCTCTCGTGCAGCGTATCCACTGAACTTGGCCATCACCTTGTTGAGAATTCAAACGTCTTAAAATTGGTCATTGCCAGAGTTGAGTTTCAGTCTTGTTCCCGGAGTCAGTGTGCACTTGCCACACTTTAGTGTTATTGTAGCTTGCCAGTCTATTCAACTTGGGCCCTGGGACTGCCTATCGAGCAATTTTTGCAAGTAAAATAAGACTCTTAAATAATCACTTCGGGCAAAGTCAATGGCCATTTATCCTCAGTTTGAAGAAAAAAAACCACACACGCCATGAACCAGTCGCAACAGTCAACATTTGTTTTATTTCCATGTCTAAAACCTTTGCTTTTTTTCACCAAAAACATTGTTAACCAACCCTTGAAATCTGTCCGACACCCAAAAAGTTTGCGTGCCAATTACCAGATTGTTTTTGCAGTGGAGAATCATCAATTCATCTTTTGAAATAAGAGTTTTTCCCTGTGTATTTGAAGTGGTCACCTTTATTACAAAAGTCGCCAGGAAGGCACTTTTTATCTGTGCCTTCAGCGAGGTTGCTTTGCTAGAGTTCACTTATTTGTCTATTTTTGATGAAGATGAAAATCAGGACTGCTTTTGTCTAGATGTTGCTAATTTCTCTGCAAATGGTCATGTAAGTGCATACATGTACGTGTTCAATGTTTTTTGTTCCTAATTCAGAAATGTTTTATGCGCAACAAATTGAATTGAATTGGAATTGAAATGGCGTCTTCTTTTTTTCCAATACTACAAGATCATTGTGTAAATTGGAAGCCTTCCAATGCTTATTTGTGCTTTCAGGAAACTGAAAATGGCATTTATGTTCAAGAGGAAGACTCCTTGAACTTTTGGCACTTGTGCCAGGATGTGCGGCCATTTTTTTTGGCAAAAGGTTTGGTGCTAAAATTAGACTGTTCCAACTGTTGCGCCCTTGACTTTGAGTAAAATACATCATTCTTATCTCTTTGCATGAGAACTGCATGTCAAATTGAACACGTCGGAACATTAGAATAAATGAAACTTAATTGTTGGGTTTTTTTGGGGGGGGGGGGAGTTTGAGAGTCTGGCATGGTCACCGAGGAATTTGAGCTCATGACAATGATCATTGTTTGTCTTTTATTTTTTTTTGCATGTAAACTTGATACGAACGGTTGTTACATCATAGTATATTAACTACAATTTTTTCTTTTTCTTAAATATTCTGTTCCTGAAGAAAATGGGGAAAAAAGGTTGTATTTTCTTAACAATTTAAACCAGTTAAAGAAAAATTACTACTGATTTAAGCCACGCTTGTAGCATAAATGCGTTTACAATTGCAAATATTACTGGAAGAAGAGACATGAAATGTACGATGCTTTCTTTACTAACGGAGTGCTTTATTACTAAGACGTTTTCTTTCATTTATGTTGGTGTATATTTCCCCTTTTGTGATTTAAACAATATTATGAAGAAGGTGGAAGAACTGCATGATTACGGTAGATAGAATAAAAAAGTAGATTTTATCAGTTTGTTAGGAATTCTGGGTATGATAATGGCTTCTGTACTTATAACAAGTTGACGGCATGAACTGCAAACAATACCTTGTTTAAATATCAATAGCAATAAGGGTCTTCTTTAATTGCAGCGTGCTTTGCTTTGATTCACTTGCGGCACTTATGTGCTTCACACAAATGTGTCTTTTCAAATATACCGATGACATTGAAAATGCATGTTTAACAAAATATAGTTTAGTAAGTTTAGAGTAATAGTTACCCCAGCATGTACATAAATATTGCTTTTTTTTGTGAATAAGAAAAAAAACTCAACTTACAAACTGTGACTGATAATGTTTCAAAGGGAAATTGGTGGAACTATTTCCAATTGTTAGGTAGGGGCGGGGCCAGTCTGGCTGTCTGGGGGGAGGGAGGAGGAGGCTGAAATGGACAAACTATTTACATGTACAGGGGCAGCAACTCAAACCTGTACACCTTTCCTTTTGGAGGTAAAAATATTTAGATGTTCTGTTTAACATCAATAAGGTTTCCATAAATGGTTTCTGCCAATCAATTACTCATATTCTTAACATAACAAACACGAAGCCCTCTTTCGTCCAGGTGTAACCCCAAGTCGCTAGTGTTGTTCCACCCTTGCTAGAAATTTGAAAGTTGTAATTTGGAAAACCCACCGTGTACGAAGCACGCTACTAATTCACAATGACTAACAACTTACACGATTATGTTCACGAGGAAGTGTTTCTAATGTGTTATAGAAAAGGACATTACCCAAAAGTGCCCAAACATTTGTGTTAAGGTTAGCCCCACTTTGATAGTCAACAAGACTGGCATAAGACACAATTTTGTTTTGCTATTGTTGTTGGTTGAAAACTCACTGGTTATATAAATATTATTTTCTGCAAAATATATCACAGATGTAAGACATGTGATGAGTTTAATCTCTATAATGTAGTGTAAGATTGCAACATCAAAGATAAAAATGCATTTAAACCATTGCACTAATACTCAGAAATGTTTACTAGGAAGAACAGTTAACATTAAAATGTTTAATTACGCAAAGCTTCTAAAATTGACAATTATTCTTGCGGGTTCTTTCTGAAAGGTGGACAGTGCAATTTTCAGCAGTTGACTTATTGTTAAAACATTTTTTTTTAAAGTAGCTGCTCTCTCACTGTTCCAGCCAAAAAAAAAGCACAGAGGTCAGTTGTGTTTTTTGTGTTATTACTCACAATAGAATTGCCAACTTAAGAAAGAGCATGTTTTGTAATTTTTTCATGCTTATCGTGCTGTGCGAGATTTCAGATTTTATTGTCTGTATAAACAGTGTTATCTTCAAGTAAACTTGAATCCTCGATCCTGATTTGTCGACTATGGCAACAAGCCGTGCTACATATAACCATGTAGCACGGCTTGTTGCCATGGATCAACCAATCAGGATCGAGGATTCAAGTTTACTTGAAGATAATATTCCGTGTTCCGCTCGGGCTCGCGGGATAACTAATATTATTGCAAAACCCGTAATCATAAATCGCCAATTGTCACTCATGTACATTACATGTTCTTGTTGAAGAAATTGGACCTCATAATTGGGTTTGCAGGAAAGCATGGACAAAAACTTGTTTCTTTAAGCATTTTTTTTTTTCAAACACACACCATTGTGTCCATCCTTCAGATTTTGCCTGAAGTCAGTGTGGTCGTCAGCGTTACTGTAGGACAAGATTCTGATATAAAATAACTTGACAAACTGTTCTTCCAATGACTTTTCTTCCTTTTTTTATTGAAACATTTTTTTTGGTGGCATACACGTAAAGGTAAAAAAGGTCAAATAATTGTGGCACATCTTGCATGTAATTAATGCACTCAGTAGTGACATCCGTAGCATAATTTGCGTAATATGCTTGACCATAGTAATACGTTGTGTAGCACATTGTGCCTATTAAAACATGAACTCAATTTCGTAATCTCAATTTATCATATTTTTGTGTTTCCCGGTAGTGTTTATTTTGCTGTGGTCTGTGTTCAATGTGTGTCTAAAAAAAAATGGTGATATCAGCTAGTGTAATGTTGCTAATAAAACTGATTAAAATAAAAATGTTTACTCAAATGTTTTGGACATTTAAAAATTTAATTTTTGTTTAAAAATGTTGGAATATTTCTGGCATTTCCAAACTTACTATTTAAGTTGTGTTTCCTGTGCTCTTCAACAAATTTGGGTTTTTTTTCTATTAAATTTTTTAAAAACTTGTATGTCTGGGCAAAAACACATCTGGTTTGCGAGCAGACTGGCTCCTGGCCGTACATTATCGATACTGATTGTGGGGCAGGAACCAGCCTACCATGCGAGAATCATTGTCTGGCATCCCATAATTTGAAATTGTAAAGTCGTAATTCAATAACTAAACTTGGGCCGACTTTTTTTTCCAGTTGATATCTCGTACTAAAAAATAAGTAACTTGTGTATTGCTAGAAAAATAGCAACTTAGAAAAGGAATCTATTTTTGGGGGATGAAAATTCGAAAATAGCACAGGGAAGACAATGTCAGGCAAAACATTTTGTCAATATCTTTACACGAGCAAAATTAAAACCAGGCATACACTTCCATAATTACGTTTTTTAAAAATTTTTTTAAAGGACATTCTTTAATTCAAAATGTAGGCCTATATGATTAAAAACCACCTAGTACATGTTTATTAAATTTCTAGCTTAAAATAGTTGGAAAAGAAGACTTAATATTTGAACAAAAATCAAATGCTTTTAAAAGGGAGTTCAATTAAAAATGCGTCCAAACTTGGGCCACATCATTTCAGAGTCCGATGCGAAAACCAGCTTTGGATAAAAGTTTACCACTTCTTATTTGGACCTGAAAAAAGGACTTATTTTGGACGAAGGACTGGAGCATCGACTTGACTATAGATACTGTGATCTTAAAACTGGGACTCACTTCTGACTGACATTATTGGCAAGCAAGTTGAAAGTTAAAGCACATGCCCAATTAAACTTGTCACAAAAGTTGGATTAAAGATATAGTCCATCATTTGTAATTTGTGCATTTTGTTCGTTTGAAGCAACAAAAGTGTTCAAAATCTAATGAAGGATACTGAACAACTAACCAGATGAAGTTTCAGCTCGGCTTCAGCTGTATATCTTGAGAAAAACAGCATTCTAGGATCTCAATTTCAAGTCAAAAGTAACTGAATCATGATTTAAATTGTTTTGAATTGCAGCTATACGCGACGTCGTGCACTGATCCGACGAATTATAGCAACCGCGCGCGCCTGTGCGTCGTGCCAATGCGCACGCTTCGCCGAATAACAAAACGAACTACTAATTTAAATTTTCCTACGGTGCGTCTTAAGACACACTGTTGGAAAGGCCTTCTTTCGTTGATTACTTCAAAATGACAGCTTCCCAGAAAGAATAATTTCAATGGGGGTTTAGTCCCCTTACTATCTTTCAACCATGTATGTTTTTCATCAATAATTACGCCAGTTACTTTTCGGATGGCTGCAAATGATGGACTATAGCTTTAAGCACTGACGCAATGGACCCTTCCCGACTGTGTCAATCAAGCACTGCACATTGAACAGTAAAATAAAAAGAAGTAAATGGTTACTCATTATAATTGGAACCAAAATTAAGCAATTTTTCCGTCGCCCTTTAGAAGCCTCCAAGTAGTGCCCTCCAACTTATTCAATCTCAGGTAAACCCTCATAGTCTTCTGCACTTCACAACCAGTTTTGCAAAACCACTTTTGCCCACAAAAGTTAGCACCCACACTTCAACTTCCTTTGAGGTAATCTTCTGTGTAGTATGGATAATACTTCAAATCCCTGCACAACTCTTTTGTGCGCATTTCGTGTGCAGTGATTCTGTGTGACACAGTTACTTGTACACTTCATATCCCTTCACCTGAAACTGACCTGCAGGGTTTTAAATGGTTTTACATTTTGCTCTGAAAATTGACTTCCCACTAGGAGGATTAACCTTTAATTAAGACCATGTCAACTGTAATGTCATGCCAACATGCAGACGACAGGCAAAACAAACACTGTAAGTATTAAATGACCACATTTTTAAAATCTCCCATATTTTGTAGAGAGATACAAGAAGAGCAGAAAAAACTTTTTGCTTCAAGTAGGCATCGCTTGACCACAACATCCTCTTTCTTTAACAGATGTGACATGGCCTATACATGGTTTGTTATATCTCGTCTTGGATACTGTCATTTCATTGGTCTAGAATGTTCACGTGTCCAGCCTATAAATATATGACTGTTATTTCATATACATGTACACCATGCTGAATATGGATTATCTCATATACACCGCGTTGCATATGTTGCGCGCGTGAAGGGTGCGTGTGTAAGTGCCGCGACAGAAGCATCTCAATCTCATGTCTTGCGGAAAAGCAAAAAGAAAAAAGAAAAGCAAAAGAGGCGCGAATTCATAGTGGTGTAAATTTGATGGGGTGGGGGGGGGGGGGGGGCAAAATGTCCCTGCCCCCTCTAAAACTGATATATTGAGAATATGTTGAGAAATACAGGAATTTTTTGGAAAAAAAAAGGTTTTGCCCCCCTCTAGAAAAAATCCTGGCGACGCCCATGGCTCACAGTAATTAAAACATTACACTGCAGGGATTTAATTGATTTTTTGAATAGTGAGTTAAAAACCTTCATTTTTTAAAACTGATTGGCACGATATAACAAAAATATAGTCAACTGCTGTGATGTGGGATATGGCGTTTTGCCTCGGGTACTAACTATACTCCCTTCGGGTGTTAAAAACACCAATACCACATCACAGCAGTCAACAACTGTCAACTATTCAACCCCGCCAGCTGGCAAGAACAGCCAAGATAAATAGGGTGGTGACTCCCACAAGAGATAGGGTAGATGTGGCATTGAACATGTATCGGTACTGCCAGCGTAGGTACCAGACGAAGCCTAGAATGCAAGTGAATAGCGGGATCATGAATCGACCCAGATCCACATCTGTTTCTTGAACGTCTAACCCTGCATTGGACGGCGTCGCCGTCTGTGACAAGAGACAGTGAATGACACAGTTCTGGGTCAAGTTGAGGTCGGCGAGGGTCGAGTTGTCATCCTGAAGGAGATGGCCGTTGAAGATGAGTCGAACCGTCTGTCCAGAGTTGATCTCTTCAGAAAACGTCCGTCTGAGTAAAAACATAACAAAAATACACCTATTATAAGATGTAATTTTGCGTCGGGGTGATATAAATCCCACGACCTCCCACCCGAGTGATTTTTCCAACTTTCACTCGGGAGGTAACACACTGAGTATACAGTGTTTAAAAACGTCGGTGAAGGGCAAAACCTTATTTGAAAAATACACCTGTAACATCAGAGTACAATTTTGAAAATTTCAGTTGCTCACCACGGGCAGCAAAATTGTGGAAGACAGTTTGGGAGTTCTACTGCTCCCTTGCCATAACCAAATTTATCTGTATACTAAGTTACAGCTCATCTCGGTTTTGCAATTTACACAGGGACAAAAACAACAACTTAATATAGAGTCAATGGCCTCTCACAAGAACTGCTAATTAAGGGCTATTGCTTATTCTACGTGTAGGTCTTAAACAGAGCCCCAAAAATGAAAAGATGAAACCAAAGATGAAAGTCCATTTAAACAAACAAATGCAGAGAAGTTTCTCAGTTTACTTACTGCCTGAAGCTACTCAGAATCTCAGTTGGGTCTGCGTAAACCAGCCTCTCCCTGTCCGTCAGGTACTTGATACGGATGCAGACAGCGCCCTCTGGAGTCTGCTCCTGTCCGTCGCTTTGTGTCTGCGCATCCGATTGGTCAGAATCTGCGCGGTTGCCAGCGCTCTGTTCCAACAACAGTTCTGATTGGGCATCTTCATCAGTGCCAGTCTGGGTCGCATCCCCTGATTGGCTGTCCTCTTTTTGAATGGAAGTAGTACTGCTTGGAATACTTTGGCTAGTGGTGGTATTTCCTGAAGACGTAGGATAAATGCATGTTTCCCCAGTTAGCCTGTTTCTGACAACACTTTGGGGTAAGGTTTCGGGACTTTTGCATTGTCTTGACTCGCAGTGCTCTGTTCAGTTCTTCTTAAGTCCGTTTCCTCAAGACCTGTCCTATCTTCGCTTCTAGTTGATGCAGCATCAGTGTTCTCCCCTTCAAGTACTTGGTTTCTTGCATTCTGTGTGCCATAAGAGATGTCTGATGAGGTTGTACCCATCAAAACTGAGCCGTCGCTTTCTGTTCTTGTATTCTCTGTGCCACCACTCCTATTCAGCACATTAGCTTCCTCTATTCCTGCAGATGGCTCTACGGAATGCGGCTGTTCCCCTGCTACGCTAGTATCATCGGGTCTGGGGGACGTGGTCCTAACTCCAGCCCTGTCCGAGACGGACGTTGACAGCCAGGCAACTAGAAGAGTTATTGCTAGGACTAGAACACCAGCAAGTACAGTGACTTCATCGCCAATTCCCTCAATGACAGACATCGTTGCAACGCGTCAATGAACACAGACCCGCTGGCACTGGTTGGAATTACAAATCTGAATATGCAACATAAACAAGAATAATTATCAAATAACTAAAAATCAGTTTGGCAATTTGCATGTTTTAGTTTACGATAGGAGTACATGCATACATTAAAAATGGAATAGGGCGAACACGTCAAACTCAACACCCCCCCCCCCCCCCCCCCCCCCCGACCCATAGCTGGAGCACTAGATTACAGAAGTACATGTAGAACTCCTTTCCTGACATTTGGGATTTGGTCTGTCGTACTAGTACTACGACAGACCAAATCCCAAATGTCAGGAAAGGAGTTCTAGCGCCCCAGTTAGTGGGTCTCCCCCCCCCCCCCCCCCCCACACACACCTGGCTGCCCGCCCCCCCCCCCCCCCCCCCCCCCCTCATCCGCCGTTCACACGATCAAATTTGATCGTTCAGTCATTAGAGGAAGAAAATGGTTCAGTTCGCAATGTCAATGTTGACATTGTTGTCAATATGATATGGCTGTGATAAAAGAAAAACATATTTATGCTTAGTAACTTATGTCATACGTTTTAAAATAATTACGCCGGTATTTTTCCCCCGTTCATCATGTTTACGTGTACAGTACATGCAGTAAGGTTTCGTGCACAAGTCAATTGGGTTAAAATTCAGTCTGGTTCTCTGCTCAGATCCTGGTAATAATTAGCGAAGTTTGCAAAGGCTTCCAGACATTTTTCGATCAAACCAATTTGGAAGAGGTTTTAGTATTGTATTTTATAGCATTCACAATTTTTGGATTGCAGAATTATTTGAAACAACTTTTTAAAATCATATCTGAGCATTACTTCTGCATCAAACATGCTGAATTGAAAAGGTATTTACCTTCATATTCAAAATGAAATTCTATAATTATTTCAGCTTACCCCTACAATTAATCGTACGTTCCGGTAACTTGTCACCTGACTTGCAATATGACCTGTACGTACCTAGCCGGCTGCGGATGTTCCAACACGGAGTTTGCTGTGTTTCTGAAGGGGAAATCAGCTCGTAAATTTGCGATTTTGCGGAACTCAGATTTTGAAATTTCATCGTCTTCTCTGCCAGAATGGCGCACTCAGGAAAGGGAAAACTTATTGCTGTAATCGGTGACGAGGTAGTTATTATTTATCATGTTTTATCAATTCATAATCATAAATTTTCGAATGAGAAAACGAAATGTTTATTTAGCCGTGATCGAACCGGTCCCGCATTTTTTCATTCTTAAGCCGGCATATCGTATAGTGCCCTCATGTGAGCATTTATACAAGTAGGCCTACACCACAAGACATTAAATTCCCTTTCCAACCCGAGTGAACGCGTGACCTATGGCCGCCCTAGTGGACAGCTCGCCAGATAGTAGGAACACGACACAGCGCACGCGTTACTCCTAGAACTATGACTATGAGGCTGCCCTTTCCGCACTGAGCCAACCTGACACTTGAAACGTGCATGCGCGCAGAATGATCGCAGTCATTTTCGGTTCGATATCTCGGAGCGCGCCGCGGGGGGTATGGTGTAGGACTAGGAGCGGAACGATAATATGCGCATGCGTACAAGTGCAAGTACGTACCCCCCGCGGCGCGCTCCGAGCGATCGAACCCGAAAATGACTGCGATCATTCTGCGCGCGTGCACGTTTCAAGTGTCAGGTTGGCTCAGTGCGGAAAGGGCATATTTTTCATCATTTTTGCCGAAAAACCGACAGAATCCACCGGTGTTTGTTCGGTGCACATAACGTGAGTATGTCATGAGGTATTGTACGGAGTTTAAGGGCAAACTGTGCAGCGGTTCTGTGGGAAAAAGCTTGGTTGGGATGGACGTTTTAGTACTTAATTAGTGTTTTGTGCTGACAACAATTTTGCGGGTTCTAACTCTATGAGGCTTCTAGGAGTACTTGCCAGATAGTAGGAAACACAACACAGCGTGCGCGTGGTTCGATTCTCCACCATGACACTTCCTTTCATTTGTTTATCTCCCAAAATTGTATCGTCAGACCCCCTAAAGCTATGCGGTCCTTTTTCTACACATTTACCTTCGATTTGTGTGTGATAACGCGCGCGCATTGCAAGCTTTACCTGTGCAGATTAATGGATTATGGAGGGTCGAGGATATACTTCGTTCTTTACAAATTTTGTCTCTCATTTGTGTGTGGTTAGTCCTTCTTTGATGATAGTGTTTTATCATTCCTTGTCGGTGTTTGTCCTTTGATTGCTGCTTTGTCCTTCCATTCTTGGTTCGTCTTTCGTAAATTGTTGTTTGTCCTTTTACTCAAAGTTTTAGCTTTGGTTAACTTTGGCCCTACTGGCCGCCCATAAAAAAGTAAACACGAAAACACGACATTGTAAACACGACATTGTCACTGATTGTCAGAAAAAAGGCAATGTCGTAAATTGAAGGGGATAGGTTGGAGTTGGTTTTATAGGGTTTCTACGTAGCGTTGCCCATTCACATGGAATTTTCAACAAGAGACTGAATTATCGATACACTATTTAAAATAGAAATAAACATACATGTATGAACTTGTTTCTCCTTCACAAAACGACTACATGTGTATAATAATTTGGGATGTAGGCTAAAGCCATTAGATATTTCAGGGGTGTAGCGAGACCGATTGGATTGGGGGGGGGGGGGTGTGACAATATATTTGCTGACAGACCCTTGGTGCTGGCAATTATTTCTTCCAAAACTTGCTTTTGAAGGGAAAATCAAATGACCTACAAATGTGGCCTACAATGTAGGCTTCGCAGAAAAACAAATTTCGTAAATTTACATGGGTACAAAATAAAGGGTTTATTATTTGATACCAACATCAAATTTGGAGTCTAGTTAACTGTTGGTAGTGGACATATATAATAATATAATTATGTGTACGTTCTGTGTGTGATCCATATTAATTTGAACCCATTCCGTTTTGTAGGATACGTGCACAGGGTTTCTTCTTGGGGTATTGGAGAGTTGAATAACAAGAGGCATCCCAACTTTGTAGTTGTTGAAAAAGGTAAGGACTCATTGGTTTTGTAGAAGAGAAAAGGCAGTTAAGGTGGAGTGTCATGGCCTAGCGGTTAAGAGCACCGGACTCATGCTCTGGTGTTTCAGAGGCAACAGTGGCGTGGGTTCGAGCCCGGGCCCGGACACTTGTGCCCTTAAGCAAGGCACTTAACCATTACTGCTTCGTCCTTCGGATGGGACGTTAAGCCGGAGGTCCCGTGTGTTGTATAAGGCCTAACGCACATAAAAGAATCCAGTAACACTTATCGCTTGGAGAAGGGGTTTGCCCGGTGTTTCTGGCCTCCTAGTTATACTCCTTTGCAAACGTGTGCAAACGAATCTGGAAATTTCACATTTTTCAAATAGACATCTGAAAAAGGCAGCACTTTTTGATGAGCCTATAAAGAGGGTGAGTATGCTTCTAAAGCAAAAATAAACTACAAACTAAGCCTTAATGTAAAAATCAAAATTTGACAAAATTCTACATGTTTTTGTACATGGTGGAAGTGTGGCCTTTATTTACGGAGGTAGTCCAGTAAATTGGCCACATTTATGGGGCTAGAAGTCCGTAGGACCATGCTGCATTGGGGGAGGGGCTTGGCCGGCCACTACATGACAGAAGGGGGCGCTGTTCATGATACACATTTGCATCTGATGCAAACTTGAAAACTTGCGATAATCTTTCAATAAATCGGTACATTTAAAGCTTTCCTACTGTTTGTTCTCCCTTTTTCAGTACTACAGTATTAATACATTTGGGCTGTTGGAAAGTTAGAAATTAACCTTAAGATCAGAGTATTTAATTTTTCACTACAAAAATATGGGGGATGATCTCATGGCCCATCTCCCCTGGTCCCCCTGGGATTTACGCCCTTGGATCCTGTTGCAGTTGGCAACCACTGACTTTCAGGCAATTTGGCCTTGGGACGTTTTACCTGTTTGTTATATTGGCCAGGCTTCTCACTTTGACTAACATTCCACGCTGTTGTGCTAGGCAGGGTTTTCTGGCCAAAGTGCCCTAAGGCCAAAAAAAAAAAGTCTCCGGTTTCTGGTATGCGGGCGCGTCGCCGTAGCCATGCGCGTCGGCAAAATGAAAAAGTTTTTTTTTTCAATGACAGATGATGTCTCAAAACCGCCAAACTCACTGGTTTGACTGGAATCCTGCTGCTGCACAATTTTAACGTGTTTTTAGATGGGGTTATGATCGAGAATAAGCTTTATGTGGCCTCTCTGGTCTCCCATAATATTTGCACTAAGTTTAGTCGGGCACCATTTGCAGTCATCAGCTGACATTTGAAGCAAAAAGAACAGTTAAAAAAAAAAAAAGCCGCGTTGCCGCACCACTTTTCGGGCAAGCTCCATACCAGAAACCGGAGACTTTTTTTTTTTGGCCTAAGATTTTGACGATCGAAATTTGAAATTCCTTCTTCCCTTCCTCCCTTAAAGACACAAGCGTTCACGAAATCGAGGAAAGTTTCAAGAGTTTTGTGACGCGATCGGACATTGCTATCATCCTCATCAATCAGAACTACGCGGAGCTCATCAGACACTTGCTGGACAACCACACAGACCCCATCCCTGCTGTTCTAGAGATTCCATCCAAGGATAGTCCCTATGATCCAAATAAAGACTCCATCCTGCGAAGGGCCAAGGTAACTTCCAATGACATGATGAAACATCACTCAAAATGTCTTTACTATTTTCTTGAATTTCCAAATACTTCCGTGAACTAATCATGGTTTAAACATGAAGTGACCATTAGCCCTAACCCCCTAGGCCCTTCTTGCTTACAACCATCCTCAATCCTCCAAAATCCTCCAAAATTTTGCAACTCCGCCTAAATTTTTCAAATTGTCAGACAGTCCTGCCTCAAATTCGGCATTCATCCTCAATTCTCCAAAATCCTCCTCATCCCAAAACTTTGCGCTCGTGTTTAAATGAAGGATAACCAACGCCAAATCTTTCAAAATCATCAGACAGTCCTGCCTCAAAATGCATTCATCCTCAATCCTCCAAAATCCTCATGTGCTTCCATCACCATTCATCCTCAATCCTCCAGAATCCTCATTTGATTCAATCACCATTCATCCTCAATCCTCTAGAATCCTCCAAAACCGCCAGGAGGATTTTGGAGGAGTGAGGTGGGTTAGGGTTAGAGCTGGTGACAGCAATATTCATCTGTATTCGGATGTACTGTCGGTGATTTTTTTTTAAGTTGCTTATTTTATAGAAGTACAAAAGTTATTCAGGAAAGAATTCCATACGTGGACGTCGCTAATTTTCCCCTGCAGTGACCTATCAGCCATCAGAAAGCAATAACTTGTCCTACAAAGTCAAATTTAGCAGGGAAAATATTGAAGCATTTACTGAGAAAAGACTTGAAATTTTTTCAGACCAGTCTCGTAGGGTTTGTGCACAGGGTGTTAAGTGATGTCCAGGTATGGAATTCTTTCCGTTATTCACTTTTGAATGAGACTTTGAACAAAATCTGCCCACATTTAGTTGTGGAATAATTACTTTACAAATTAAAAATTATGTGCAGGCCCAACAATAATCCAGGCATATCGTTTGTGCAGTTGGTTTATTTCAAATAAGGCATACAAAATTTGTTTTGAGAAAAAAAATTAATTTGCTGAAGAGCGCAGATATCTCTAACCATCTCTGGAGTCTAATTAAAGTCTTTTGTTTCAGTAGTGACTACACTTAATTGATGACGAGAGTAATCATTTGTGTACAAATAAGGGACTGACACTTTCATTGAGTTTCGTATTGTCCCTTTTTAAGCCATATTTACCATGATTATTATTATTTCTGTTCACAGGGCATGTTCAGCGCCGAAGATTTCCGATGAAATTCCAGATCACCGAAGAATGGATCTTGTCAACTCCTGCATAATTTTGATCAAATGGCACGGACATCTGTAACAGTGCAATGCGTCCGCATAAAGCAGCAATAAGATGTATTTATCGTTATTAGACCTCACACAAAGCATTTTATTTTGTGATTGGCGCAAACACGCCACGTCATGTGCATTAACTATGTGATAGCCCCAGGAAGTCAGAAATTATTATATAACCAACATACAGACCCTTGTCATTTGATTGGTGGAACTCACTTCACGTGACATTCGTTATTACTCCCATTCACACTGGGGCTCAAAAAAGTCCCATTCGCCCATGGGGAATGGGAAATACTATTGAACAGTTAGGATCGATGCTTGTTCCATGACGCGGCATTTGTGTGCAAATGCATACTGGTGTGCGCGTTCAGCATTGCGCGTAGCGCGTATTGTTCCAAAGAGCCAGCGCTACAGAGTTGGGTTCAATCATTTTCGCAAAGGGGTGGTTAGGAAGAGAGAAACACATTTTCCACCAATTTTGTATTGAAATAAAAGTTCAATTATATCAAATGACAAGGATCTATATGTCAGTAATACAAAACAAATATTGAGTGGCTTTAAATTGTGAAATGGGAGGAATATTATCGCTTGGTATAATCTGGACTTTTTCAGTTCACTCGGCTTCGCCTCTTGAAGTGGAAAAGTCCAGATTTTACCTTGTGATAATATTCCTCCCATTTCACGCTGATCCATTCAATATTTGTATATTATAGACCTTGTGCGTAAGGGTTGAGTTAGAGGGCAGTGTTTTGAATCCCTTGGATTGGCATGGGTAAAAAAAATTTTTGCACCCATTGTTAAAAATAGAAATAACAAACCTGCAACGCATAGCGTCTATTGAATGTAACCATCCCTGCCAATGTTCTATATTAGGTTGTTTCGTTTATAGTATGAAGAAAGTCTTAAATTTAATAGATTTGATGTGTTAAGTGTTAACAACCACAACATTTATTGACTATATATACTTTTTTTTACCCCAAGGAGAATTTGAACCTCCGGTTGTGATACCCTGGCCACCCTTCCCACAAATGTTCCTTGGTGCAGTCTTAATTGAGAACAGCGCATTCCAGCTAGGACTGTGCATGTACTGCGAGTGTTGCTTGGTTAAACAGGAACACGCCACATTTTGAAATTAACAGTCCAAACTGGGCAACAATGCTACGGTTGTACACCAACATGTCCCATACAGTACAGGGTGTCCCATAAAAACCTGAACCCTCAAAGCGCCCTCTTTTTCACAGCTTTTAAAAAAATAATACATCACAAATATCGATACATATTTGGAGAGTATAGTTCATTAGCTTTTCAACAACGGAAAAATCTTTCCAATCGGGTACTTACTGAGTTATTATGGTTAATTGAAAACAAGTGCCGCTTTTCATTTTGTCCACGGCGACTGTCGCAATAAGAACACGGGCTGAAACTTGCATCCGTGCAAGAGGCTACCAAGTAGAGGGCAGAGGCAGAGCAACACAGTAAACATCTGAGAAGTTAACCAAACAGTCCTTTTTAGGACTACCAACTTCCAAAAAGAGAGATTGTTGCCAACAATGTATAATGAAAACGAACCAAATATAGAGAGTAAGATTAAAATTATAGAAAGTGAAACTACCCTCGCCCCAAATCCACTAGACCCTGGACAAATGAAAAATCAGCACTTTTTTTAAAATGGCCATAGCTCAATAAATATTTACCCGATAAAGGTTCTGTTGGTTTTCTTTTGGACACCCTGTAGCATCGAAAGAAAATGTCCGCCCCAACACTGCCGCATTATGATCCGTGGAGAGGCTGTACTTGAAATTTGCATTCCATGATGAAGTTCAGTACTGAGTTGTAGACGCTTTTGCGTTCAGTAGCCGTCTTTGGGCTCGCGTTCTGCCACCGAGCTTCAGTGTTTACGATATAAAAATCTCTCTGAACAAAATTGTTTGGCCTACTTTGGTAGGGTGTGATATATCAATAAAATAGTAACTCTTGAAACTCACTGCAAATGGCTCAGTTTGTTTTGGTCTGATTATGTTCAATCATGGACTATGTGGGGTATTATCTTCTGGAGGTTGGGGGGGGGCAGTGGATGTGGACATAGACTCAAACAATGTAAATCTCTTGTTTTCCAAGATAATGCGTCTTCTTGACAAGCTTGGACAATGCTGTCTTCTAAAGCTGATATCTGATGTATCTGCGTAAAGAGTTGATCCCTGCCACCCTATATGACAACTCGGTAAATCCGCGTCAGCATGACAGGTTATATTTTCCGGCTAATACCAACAACGGAAATAACAACGGCTTGGCTCCGATTGTCCTGTGCATCACGACTTTCATAAAATTGGCTAGCTCGTCGGTATGCCATGACTGTCATTGACACGGCTTCTATTAAACGGGGTGGGGAGCCTTCACCACAAAGCAAGATTGTTTGTCGTGATTGCTTTTTGGCAAGGCCCCTTGCAAAAACTGAACCTGATGAGTAAAATTCATTATTTATCATGGTGTTGGCAGATGCACTTACAAATTGTTTTCGCGTATTATTTTCAAGGATTTAATGTCTTAGATCGAAGTGTCAGTTTTCCTCTGAAACACCTCGGGATTTGAACAATATACGGGAGGCCTACACAAGACCTTACTTTACGGCCACCTTCAATGTTCCATTATTAGTAATTTGACACTTATGTCCGTGTACCGCGTAATGACACGTCCCATAATGGCTGAACAGTAATGATATTCTCATAATAATTATTATAGCTGTTTTGAGGAGTTAGGTAATACCTATACGCGTACTGATTCGCGAAAACAGATTATGGGCGCATAGCGCACAATTCGTTTTGGAAACATCCAACAGAAAAAAAATCTGAGGTTTTCCGTTCACATAGAAAATTGAAAATTCGAAATGAGCCTGATAAATCGAATACTTTGAAGAGCACGGGTATAGAGTGGAATATTTGTGCCAAACATGAGAGAGGACGAGTTGTAGAAAACAGCAGTGGAGTAAAACTGTGGTTCGTGTGGTTCGATTTGCATTGGGGTTGGGGGGAGTATGGAGGAGTGAGGGCGAGTTTCCGGAGGGGGACATTTTGATGTACTTTCAATAATGAGAAGCTCATGTTGGCTTGTAAGTCTTCACTTCTATAGCATTGTGGTTTTATGTCATATCACAGCCCCCCCCCCCCCCCCCCCCCCCATGCTGGGTGTTGGTTGAGGTGTGTAATTTCCACCACCCCCGTTGGGAAGAAATATGTCTTAAAAAATAGTTTCTGTTTTTTTGTTTAGGCCAATAGTGACCAATGCTGTGTGAGTTTCAATGGTCGTCATTGTACAACTTCATGTGGGACAATGTTAAGAAAGGGGCGTATCCAGATTTGGATCATGAGGCGGGTGGGTGTTAGCTACCGGGGTGGGGGGGGGGGATAGCAGGCATTGGATGTGCTTTTCTGCACGATTTACCTATTTTATAGTAATAATAATCTAATAACAATTTGGGGGCTAATCATCCTTACTCGCAACTGAGAAGCTGCATGAATTGCGGAGGACGTGGCCAACGAAAGTGTTTGGTTTTTGCGGCCCACCAGTGTTGGATTTTTTTCGACCCAAGAAGAGATTATAGACTTCTTAATCCCTCCCCCGGAAGACCAGCCACTGATGAAGATGGCGCTTATAGGCGGGCCGCGGGAAGATACTCGCGAGACTTCAAAAGTCGCCTGTTCTCATCAACAACAGGTGAGTGATGAAGGCAATGACAATGATCGCTCATCACCATATAAACATCGTATTCAGAAGGGAAAAAGTCAGGGACCGTATATAAGATGCCCGGCATATAACACTGTCCACGTCTCGAGTCACATCAGATAAAAATCAGAGTGTGCCGTTTGGCCGCGGTGAAACAATAATTTAGGCCCCCCAAAAAGTCTCCGGTTTCTGGTATGGAGCTTGCCCAAAAAGTGGTGCGGCGACGCGGCTTTTTTTTTTTTTTTTTACCTGACTTTTTTGCTTCAAATGTCGGCTGATGACTGCAAATGGTGCCCGACTAAACTTAGTGCAAATATATGGGAGTCCAGAGAGGCCACATAAAGCTTATTCTCGACCATAACCCAAGCTAAAAACACGTTAAAATTGTGTAGCAGCAGGATTCCAGTCAAACCAGTGAGTTTGGCGGTTTTGAGACATCATCTTTCATTGAAAGAAAAACAACTTTTTCATTTTGCCGACGCGCATGGCTACGACGACGCGCGCGCATACCAGATGAACACAATGAACCACTGCTTCAAACAGTAGGCCTACGTCGTTTACTTTTATCCGAACATTGGATATTGTGGCTAACATTGCGGTCATTTTTGGGGCGATCCATTTGACTTGCAAAGGACCATCGATTTGGTCCGATGACATGACTTGGGCGATGGCAGATGATGATGGAGAACGGCACAGCTACGGAGGCCATTCTCCTAAGATGGTCCTGATGATGATGTTCCTTATGGCAAGTGGACTTCAAGGGAACGCGCAAGTTTCTCTTCAAGGTATGGTAACGTAATGCACGCCACCTTTGATTGGGGTTTATATCCCTTATAAGGCCAGAAGGGGGGGGGGGGGGTTGGAGACTAGGGTCTTATTGTGATCGTCTTGCGGTATAATGACGGATTTTGTAAAATGTTGCATTGCACAGAAAGTCAGAAAGAAAGTGAAACGGATTCATTATCTTTCTTTTCTTAAACAGCAATCAAAGTTGATACACCAATGAAGTATGCCTTAAAAGAGCATGTTCTTCCACTCATTAGGAATACAAATGATTACTGAAATTGATCCATGCTATCAGAAGTTATGCATGTTTGACTAAAACAACATTTTTGTTTATAGCTGTCCATGAAATGCCATTTAGTGAGAATTATACAGATTGCACACAGGCATTCAAGTAATGAGGTTTTCATCACTTGAGTCGAGACTTAAAGATTATCTTTGCTGTCAGATTGTTTGTGTTTTGTTTATGAGGAACAAGCCAACTCTTCTTCCCCATGAAATATTGATGTTTGTTTTGCAAGTTTTCTGTTCATTCATGGCGCGGAGGTTGGAAAACGTCAATGTTTCATTGTATTTAAAAGGTATTCATCAGTTCGTATAGAACAGTAAATGTTCAGTGGTGGACAGCTGAATTTTGTGGTCTTTTAATTTATTACAATAATTTGGAAATAGAGTACGCAAATTACACGTGAAATTGTCACCTTAGTCAAGAACGTGTACTTTATCCCGATTTTTCTGAAATGGAACGAGCCACACATTTTTTTTTGAAATATTTTGTTTC